TGCATCCTATGCATCCTATGCAGCCGTATATAAACTTGTATATATTTCTTATACAAGTCTATGCATCTATGCATCCTATGCATCCTATGCAGCCGTATATAAACTTGTATATATTTCTTATACAAGTCTATGCATCTATGCATCTATGCATCTATGCATCCTATGCAAATGATAAAACTCGTTTTTAACTCCAACGGTCTCATATCGTGCCTGGTATCCATCAGGAATCTATATAGAATTTTTAAGGAGGAAATATAATCTAAAAATGCCCCATCCCCTCCCCCCCTCCGGCTGCCGCTAGAACTTAGATGAGAGAACACTTACTGAGCAATCGTAGGATGATGTAGCTGCAAGGGTACCGTGGATTTGAACTCCTTTTACATTACAATTTTTAAACTAATTTAACATACAAGACTTATCAGCTGCAGTTTTATATTTCAAGCCCCTTTTTTAGTGTTGAAATTGGTAAGCTTTAAAAAGTTATAAATGCCATCATTTTAATTTTGTTCAATGAAACAATTTCAATGTTGAAGGTCATGCATACACAATGGGCTGAGTTCCCACAATAAAATAGCCCGATCAGTTCCGCCGTTTTGCATGAATTGAATTACAAAATATTTTTAAAATAAATAAAATAGAAGGTATTTAAATTATGTTGATTACCTTTTAAATTTGAATCAAACTGGAACTGAATTCTCATAGTGTCAATTTTTTTTCATTTTCTAATCATTTATAATTCAAAGAAAAAAATCAAGACCTGGCAACTTCTTGAATAATCATAATTTCTTGCTCTTGTGCAAGATTATATAAATTTTCCTTCTCTCCATGTTTCCAAAATTGTATTAAACATTTAAATATTTTCTGCCATGAAAGGAGGAGAATTGAGGTGTAAACAGAATTAAGTCCAGTGTCCGAATTTAATGAATTTAAGCCGCGTCTCAAATCCCCCAAAAACTAGTTTCACTTGAGCGCCGGCTTAAATCTTAAAAAATTTAATACAAATTTAGGTGAAACCAACAAAATTTGAGTCGCGGCTTGAATTTAACTGCGTCTCAAATTCTTTAAATTCGCGGCCTCAGGAATGGCAGCCTCCATAGCCCCCCAATACATTTTCTTCTTGTATAAATTGTAAATGAAAAGAACTAGGAGACTGCATGCAAAGTTTCAGTAGGAACTCAAGTTGTTTAAAAAAAACACTTTTAAAATTTCTTTAAATCAATGTATTGTAATATCCCTGTGACTCCGCCTGTGTGCCCGGGCAGTGAATGAATCTAAATAAATATAAATATAAATAATTGTTTTAAAATCTAAAAAAAATATAAAAATATAAAATATTAGCTGAAGGGCCTGGCGTTGCCCGTGGATAAATATATTTGAAAAAAATCGAATTTTTTTAGCCTACAACACCCACCAGCCACCCATGAGTGTCCACAAAAAATGTCAGCCCAATCGTTCAAGCTGTTTGACCGGCTTTAGCCAACATATATATATACGAAAGTCTTGTTTTATTATATAGATAAATAATTGTTTTAAAACCCCTATAATCACAGTGCTCAGAAAAATATTAATTTAAATTTTATTCTACAATACATATAATTATCATTCCGAAAAAAAAGATTGACTTTCAACACAGAAATTCAAATCATATTTTTGTAAATTATACAAATGTCTTTAAAGCAAAGACTGGAAACCTTTGACAGCTGAGAAAATACAGCTTTAGGAACCCTTTTGTTAATCTAATCTTTATAGTCATTGATTTTCAAAGCGAGATTTTACAATTTTGTTATTATCTCTGAACTTCTAGGATATACTATAATAACAATTATATTAAAGCTTTCCAGTAAAACCTTTCATTTATTTTCATTTCTCATTCTTAAAATTGTAATCTTGCAGAGTCAAATTCATCAGAATATGAACCACCAATAAAAAAAAACAATTGTTCAGAATTCACTAATATGGAATTAGATCTATTTTCTGGAAGTTCAGATGTAATATTTTCATTGTCTGCTTCCCAATCATAAGCATCAGTCCTGTTGTTAATGATCCTTCCTTCCTTAGTTTCTACCAGACTTCCAACAAACATATTTTGACTTATCTCAAAATAAAATTTATCAGAAAATATGATCTCATAAATCTGTGTTGATTGTTGTTCCTGACTTTTTGTTTTAGCTTTACAATGTTTCTTAATTGTTTAAACATCAGCAACCCTGATTCATATCTTCTTTGATTTCCACCTTCTGATGAAAATGTACACCTGTTGTACACAGAAAAAGATGAAAATGTACACCTGTTGTACACAGAAAAAGATGAAAATGTACACATGTTGTACACAGAAAAAGATGAAAATGTACACATGTTGTACACAGAAAAAGATGAAAATGTACACCTGTTGTACACAGAAAAAGATGAAAATGTACACCTGTTGTACACAGAAAAAGATGAAAATGTACACATGTTGTACACAGAAAAAGATGAAAATGTACACCTGTTGTACACAGAAAAAGATGAAAATGCACACATGTTGTACACAGAAAAAGATGAAAATGAGTCGAGAGTAACCATGAGACATTGTTGGAAAAGTAGTAAATTGTACCAGGTTTAGTATAAAGCTAAAATATTCTACTTTACTACTATGAAGAAGCTAAACTGAAATTCTTGTCAAAAAAGTAAGATTTATAATCCAGAATGTCAACTTTTCTTTTGAACATAACTAAGACGGTGTGCATTTAAAAGTTGAAATTTTTATTACTTTGTTTTTCTTTAGTCAACAATATTTACTAAACAAAATGGTTTTAACAAATGCCAAAACACTACCTAACTGGCACTAATTTTACTTTGGTCTTAATACAGGGGGGGGTTGTAAGTTCAGGCCTCATTTACATGTTTACATGCGTAATGCGGTCAATAGATACAGTGTTAACCACATAAACACTAGAGGCAGGATGCAGGACATGGAATACAATGGATACAGAATATACCGTACAATGGATACACTAGATACAGGACACCAAAGCTAGAGGCAAGTGATATGGGATGGTCAATACAAAATACAGGACACTGGATATTAGATACAGAAAGCAGGATATTAGATACAGAATACAGGAGACTGGATATTAAATTACAGGATAAAAGACACTGGATATTAGATACACAGAATACAGGACACTGGATATTAGATACAGAATAGAGGACACGGAATATTAGATAAAGAATACAGAAAACTTGATATTAGATTACAGGATACAAGACACTGGATATTAGATACACAGAATAAAGGACACGGAATATTAGATAAATACAGAACACTGGATAATTGATACAAAATACAGGGCTTGGGATACTAGACTTTGATTTACCTTAGTTCCGCCTGGCAGTTCCCACACTCCTAGCATAGCATCCTCAAACCCTGCCACCAAGGAATATACATCAGGAATCATAGATAATAGAATATATAGAGAGGAAATAAAAGAATCTCTCGGTATGAACTTTTTCAGTCCCTTTCAGCCTGAAAGGGAGTTCAAAGTGTAGAAATCATGCAAATGTTCACAAATTATATGCAGTAGAGTACATTAATACAGTATGTTCCCTAGACAATCCATTTCAATTTCGAATTTTTTAAAGGGACCGTTCACTTATTTGGGTAATTTTAGGGTAAACTAAACAGTCTATTCGCTGTTGATTGGTAATAGTCTTACTTTTCAAAGACAACTGTGGCCGGAGAAAAAGCCGACTTTTCGTTCAGAGTTTGAGCGGAAAGGGACGGTCCCTCTCTATAGACACTTTTTGATGTTTTTTTCAGTATGTTGTGGATCAAAATAAATTTCGAATATAAAATTAAACTGTAGTATCTAATCGTTAATTGCAAATGTCATTATTTTTTATTTTTTTTTTGTTTTTTAACTTTCTATTTCTAAAATAACACTATTTTATCGCAATCAAATTATGCATTGCCTGTGCAAAAAGCTGAATTGAACGCGGCATGACAAATGAAAAGTTGTGCACATGCGGGAACAAAATCTACAAAATCTACGAACCAAAATACGATTAATGATTAATTGATTGTCGTAGAGACGTCGTCTTTGTATACACATTTTACATGTTTTAATAAGAAAAACGTTCATTTCTTGCTAACTCAAATATCAAAAGTTTTCATATTTTAGTACATAATAACGAACACATAATGACATTAAAATATAATAAATTTAAATGTTATTGGGCTGCTGTTACTGAAAAAAACAATCAAATGTGTCTATAGAGAGGGACCGTCCCTTTGCGCTCAAATTCTGAAAGAAAAATCGGCGTTTTCTCCGGCCACAGTTGTCTTTGAAAAGTAAGAATATTATCAATCAAGAGCGAATAGGCAGTTCAGTTTACCCTGAAATTACCCAAATAAGTGAACGGTCCCTTTAAACTGTTAAATAAACTTTATAATGAATTAGGTGAATAAAAATATCATTTGATTTATAGTTATAACGGAAAATTATCGTTTGTAAAGTGGAAGGCATAGAGTCTATGTGAAATGATCATTGGTCAATTATGAAACCAGCCTATTTCATAATTTGGTTTTCTTTTAACAGTAATTTTAGATTTTCTATATAATAATATTCCAGGGTCCAACAGGTTATATAGCATAAATATGTGAAGCACACCTGCAGTATGGAAACAGTACAACAAAATGGCCGTTTTACACTTTTTTCCATCAAATTCCTCTCTATATATTTTATTCTCTATGTCAGGAATACATATTTAATTCTTCACAAAAACAATGTACTGTATGGAAGAAATGTAAACAAGCTCTGTCTTAGAAGTACTGAGTATGTTTACATTTATGTCAGACACTGCGGTACACTTCTTGTACGACTTGTACACAAATATCTGGAGGTTTTTAGTGTATATTGGTTTCCTGTCACAAGATGAACAGATGAGAAATCCACAGCGGACACCAGGTCACCATGCGCCTACACATTATCATCAATTTTATACATACAAATATTAAATGTAATTTGAAATGGTGTACTCAAATAGATTCTAGTACAATAGATGGCAACTTAGAATTTGTACACTCTCAGTACAGTTGTATTCTGACGTAACAAGTGTCAGTTCAGTTTTTGTGTCCGACAAAATTATTAATAATAGTGATAATTTTAGAATAAAGTGTTTATCTTACAGTAAAATAAGTGCAATTTTATGTGTTCTTTATTTTCTGTTTTTACATTTTTTGTATTTAATCACAGAAAACATGTCAACTAATATGAGAAAGTTTATTTTTCCTTGTTATATTTGACACTTGTGACGTCGTGTATAATTGGTGCATTTCTCTGTTGCCACCTATTGTACTTGATAAATCTATTTGGGTGTACTTATATTTTTAAATAGGTCGAATGAAAGAATTTGTACATATAGCTATATTAATCGTAATGATATTGAATATACCAAAATTCATTATGCTTCTACATATTTAATATTTATTCTCAAAAAAAAATCTTTTATTTCATAAGCATACTTACTTATAAAAAAATAGTCAGCTTTTTAAATAATCAAAAACATTTTCAGGAATTTATTCATTTCACTTAAATGAACATGTTGATTCAGTAAAATTATCAAAAGACGTGGTTTCTCTTTGGCTTGAAATTTTATTTTCCTGGACTGTACAATATGTATGCCAGGGGTGTCAACTAAGCATTTGAAGTTTTTAGGGGCTAAAATATCCTTTCTAGAAATTTTAAAAGCTGTAAATGCTGAAGATTTAAATTAAAAAGTATCTCTTTTATTCATTTTCTAGACCAAACCTGAATTTTTAGAGTAGGAAATCATAGACTTTTAATTTTAAGGTTTTATTAAAAACGAATTTTAATATTTAGCGTGGAATCGGAAAAAATATTACATAAAACATAAAACATATACATGTAATAAAACATACATGTAAAATGGATGAATTATTGAAGCCCCCCCCCCCCTCAATAAGTTAATCTATGATTTCCAGGGGGTTTCCAGTCCTCAACGGGTGCCAAGCCTAAATTGTTTTAACCCTACTCTGTGCAAATTCCTGTATACGCCCCTGGAACCCTAGCTTAATACAAATTAACAATACAAATTTAACAAAAAGGTTTATATAACACTAAATTGAAGACAGAGACCAAAAAATAAGCTTCAAATAATCATATTTTAAGAGTTTTGGGAAGTCCTTTCAGTCTCATACCCTGTACATTTTCAGTTACCTTAGAGTTGTTGCACAAGGTTTCAAAGTAAAATAATATTTAGACATCAAACGAAGGATTTAGAATTTGGTAAACCCTGCAGATTAAAATTATCTTTTTTCAAAATACCTATCAGACCATTTTGTATTTTTAAACTTTCAGATCTTTTCAATCTTTAGAAAACACTTTTTACGAGGCCGTGCTCGACTATAATTATGGTCAAGCTGAAATACCTGAGTGGGATGACCAAGCTTCCAAACATCAATGCTGTAAAAAAATGAAAACAACTGTCCGTGAAAAAGTATCTTTTGAAAAGTGTCTGGAGAGAACATACAGTAAGGACATTTTCTCTGCCTGGCAATGCTTGACAAATCTGACATGATCTGGAAATCATACATGTTATTGTTCAATCTGGAGAAAGGTACCCTGAAATTTCTACTCGACTCCTGTTTGGACACCCTGCCAACACAAACTAACCTTCTACAATGGGGAAAATCTGCATCAGATCTCTGTAAACTATGTTTACAAGCAGACGCTGAATTGCAAGGTAGAAGACAAGGAACTACAAAACATATTCTGAATGGCTGCAAGCTTGCACTACACCAAAAAAAGAAATACTTGGAGGCACAACAATCTTATTAAACATATCACTGGATTAATTGATATTGACCGATTTCTGATGTATGCCGACATCCCGTCCCATACCCTTCCAGGGGGAGGTACTGTTAACCCCCCCCCCCCCCCCCCCCCCCCCCGGGGGGGGGGCCTTTTACCCCCCCCCCCCCCCTCCTTTTGACCGCACAGAAACCAAATCTAGTATTTATCGAATATTGTTAGAATGGAGGAAAAGATGGATATTCATTTTCTCGAACGAGCCACCTCAAAATCCTCGTACTTTCAATATCATTTTTTTAAAGTGCCTAATCATTCCAGATTAACTATTTTTAAAGAATCGGGCCACGTTAGGGCATGAATGACACATACAATTTTTGTAAATCGAAAAAAAAGTTTCCATTAAATTAAAGATTTCAAGTTTAATGTCTTAAAAATGTTCACCTTTTTTACGCGCATTTTCAGATATTCCTGGTGCAGAATGCCGCAAATAATTCCTAGTTTATAGAACTTCCATCTTTTTTGTTAACTATAGTGAAAACCATAAAATTTTTCGGGGTGGTTCCATGGGAAAATTATAGGCAGAGATATGCCGAATATTTTACTATTTATTTTATATCACGAAGGTTAGCCATTACGGAGGCAAAAGAGATTTAAGTTTTACCTAAATAAAATTTGACATCATTCTCATGGGTTTGAATATACATGATATTATCATTGCAATATTTTAGTCCACCCATATTTTAAGCCCTAACGTGGCCAGATTTTTAAAATAGTTTTATCATCAAGAATTGGAAACTTTTTAACACAAAATAATCGAAGGACGAGGATTCCGAGGGGAGCTAAATGTAGAAAATGAAGTGGCTCGGACGAGAAATTGTTGTGGCTGGCCTTCCTCACCTCGTTCACCCTTTTGAAATCGGCTTAAGAGGAAGGATATATCTCAACATCAAATAAGGCAAATCTAAAGAAACTGTATTAGTTTTCTGCAAAGCCAGTGTTAGTTTCAAAGCAATGTGCGAAAATCTATCAAATCTTGCAGTACTGTCATCTTACCACAATTTTAGAAAACGAAAAACGCTAGACTGGGACCAAGAAACTTCATTTCTGAAAACCACCTCTGAATAACTAAACTATACTAATGCTAAAAGTCTTATATGGCACCTGTTTTTGGCAAACCCTGTCAATCATAAAATGCGATATCCAGAGAAAAGAGTATTAGTATTAAATTGTAAACTTTTATATTGTTTAATTTAATGTAATTTTGCTTTAGACAAATATAAATGATGAATATATAACAATATGCCATGTTTTAGCCTTCAAGGAACCCTGATTGCAAGAAAACTGACAAAACAAATTCCATACAATCGTCGCTGAAGTCTCATCCTTTTTGAGTAACCCTATATATTAGGATATAACTTCATCTAAATCTACGTAATAGCCATATATGTTGGCAGTGCGACCCTATATAGTCTTATTCTTTACTAGCTAAATTGCCCGTAACAAGCAAAAAATTCGAAATTTTGAAAAAGTAAATTTTTTTAGCCTATGTTACACCCAGCCTCCAAGGGTACCCATTGGGTTCCCGTAAAAAATGTCAGCCAATTTTGTCCAGCTACAGCTAACATATTTATATATATACAAATATACAAATATAAATATAGAGTGAAGAACTTTATTTATATATTGTAGAGGATGAAACCCCCGAAAGAGGATTATGAAATCCGCAAATCAGTGGTGTCGGATCTTGGAAACTTCCTCTTCTTTTATATACTCGTTATTTATCATGTAATTATATCTAGAAGCAACAAATGTACTTCTAAAGTGGTGACCCCAGACAACAAACGAACCATGGCCGAAAACATAGCCTCCTGGTCGGAAACAGCGCAAGAATCTAAGGAGGATGACAATCTCAAGCTTAAACTTCTTTTCCACAAATTCACTATTTCTTCAATATTTAGAAGATAAAACTTTATATGTTTAGAAGATCTATACAGAAGTAAAGTAGTAATTTCTGTTTCTACGATCGTAGCTCACGAACATTTAAACCGATTTGCCACACATTTTGGAAAACTTGGTATAACCACGGGAATGTTCTCAGCTTGGTTAGAATTTCCAGGTTAAGTGGGTTGACTTGTCTAGAGAAAGTTTAGATTCCCAAGCTAGTTCTAATTCAAAACAAACTCTACACGCCAAAACTTCAATGAGAAATTTAATCCATTAGCTCTGCGAACATTTTTCTGTAAATTTATTTACAACTAAAACAAATAACATACAATTACATTATCATTTACTTATAAAACCAATTACTGTAAAAATGTATGGAAATTAAGTTAATAAATAGGAGTTTGATAACAAAATTATCTAAAATTACACAATTATTCTACTACGAGTTTTCACATTATGTCTCCAAACAATTATACAACGCATACAATAAAAAACAACTTATTTTCAGTTTACAAAATAAGAATGTATAAAAATATACAATTTGACATACAACTTACTATGGCAGTGTCATGTTTATTGTGAACTAGTTTTGTTTTGAAGAATTCGCAATTTTAAAACTTAAAATAAAGTCACTTTTCATGAGGGTTTCCAATCGGAATTCCGTTGCCAGGAACTGCGCGAAAAAACAGAGCTCGCAATGTAAACCCTAGTTTTCAAAAAATAAAAATAACCCTTTTCTGCTCGAAACAAACTAAAAACTTAATTGATATCTTAACAAATATGTGGAAAGTTTAGAGAAAGTTTAGATTCCCCAAGCTAGTTCTTATTCAAAATAAACTCTACACGCCATACGAACACTTCAATGAGAAATTTAATCCATTAGCTCTGCTGACATTTTTCTGTAAATTTATTTACAACTAAAAACAAATAATATACAATTACATTATCATCTATATATAAATTTGGCTTGTCTGTCTGTTTCTTTGTCTGTCTGTTTGTATCCAATAAACGTCAAAACGGCTGAACCGATCGGGCCCAAATTTTTTGTGGGACATCACGTGACCACAGGGAAGGTTTACGAATGATAAAAAAAATGTGTTTTAAAGGTTTTTAATTTTGTAAAAAAATTTAAATTCTTGAAAATCCGCGAATTTTTTTTAAAAATCCGCGAAATTTTTTTCTTTGTTTTAAAATGTAAACAAAAAGAACATGTTCACAATTTAAATAGAAGATGGGCGCGAAGCGCCCTAAAAGCCTAGTTTACTTAAAAAACCAATTACTGTAAAAATGTATGGAAATTAAGTTAATAAATAGAAGTTTGATAATAAAATTATCTAAAATTACACAATTATTCTACTACGAGTTTTCACATTATGTCTCCAAACAATTTTACAACGCATACAATAAAAAAACAACTTATTTTCAGTTTACAAAATAAGAATGTAAAAAAATATACAATTTGACAAATAGATTAGTATGGCAGTGTCGTGTTTATAGTTAACTAGTTTTGTTTTGAAGAATCCGCAATTTTAAAACATTAAAAAGTCACTTTTTCATGAGGAACTGCGCGAAATTACAGGGCTCGCAATTGGAGACCCTACTTAAAAAAATAAAAATAACACTTTTCTGCTCAAAACAAACTACAAACTTAATTGATATCTTAAGAAATATTTGGAATATATTCACTCCAAATTTAAGTAATTACCAAAAAAGTTACCGGAGTATCTATCTTCATAGCAGAGTAGTGTACCTTATGCTCCCCCCCCCCCCTTAGTTCATCATTAGCTCTAAAATATAAATCTAATGTCCTTTATTGGAAATATTTTAATGAATCCCAAAATAAAATTTGATTGAAAAAAAATAAAAATTGTAAGCTTTTAAAGATGAAAATCCTTGTTATCCTACGTCAGAATCCCATTAAACATGCAAATAAGAAAAATATCCACTCACTCCCAATGATCTTTGGATTATATGCGACTCAACAAAAACCACTCTAATGGTTTTCCTGTTTCAGTTTTTTTGCTAAACTTTTACTCTTATAGCTTTAATTGAAAACAAACATCAAAAATGGTGCTCAACGAAAAAAACTTCTTCCTTATAAATACATAAAAACTCAGATTTTTGCAGATCCTATCAAAATGTTGAAATTTGATTCTAAGTATTAACTATTAGAATTGTTGTACCTATATGAGCTTTAACCTATACCTTTGTAAAAAGGGAACATAAAAAATTATCATTTAAAATGTAAATATTCGGTCTAAACAATGTGTATAATAGAAAAAAGTATCTCTATAAGCCTAGTGAGTTTAAAAACAAATTATCAAACAAAAAAAGTTTAATCCGGCATTTAACATTTTTTTAGTGATTTTTCTATTGCCTTGAAAATTTGACAATCAAGGGGTATTAGTGCATGATTATCATCGTCACAGTAGTTGATCCCTTCCTTAGCCTTTCTTTCTCGATTTGATTTCCTCCGTTGAGTTGGCAGCTGCTGGTCAGAAACCTTTCTTTTCTTCTTTAAAATGATTTCTTGTTTAAAGCTGGGATCTCGGCCTGATTGTCTTTTTTTCCTAGCTTTCTTAGCAGAGTTTATTTTCTTTGGACTTCTTGATGACCTGTTCACATTTTTCTGTCGCAAAAACCGACCAAAATTTGAAAATTCATCATTTGAATCAAAGACTTCATCTTGAAGATGAAGATCTGAAGAATTCAAGGTGTCATTGACAAGCTCTGAGTTGCTCTTGTTTACAGGAGACTCCTCCAGATCTCCAAGGAGATCACAAGATCTATTCAAGATATCAGCAGATATATCTGGTGAATTAGACCTGGATCCAACAGGTGTAGATTGCATCAATGGAACAGTAGATGTTGCCACTGGTGATAATGATCTTGATCTTCTTCCAGAAGATGGTAAATGTTCATATATTTCTATCTTTGTTAATGATTTGGATCTAGTTCTGTTCATCTGTACTTTATCATCAATCTGAGTAGGAGTATTTACTTCCGCAGATAGTAAAATTGAATATTTGTCAACATCTTCAATCCTCAATGTTCTCTTCCCATGTTTTATCTTCGCCACAAATGCACTGAACTTCTCTTCCTCAGGAAGTAGATCTTCAATCTTGTTGTGGTAAATGCCAATGTGTCTCATTACACTGTTCTTGGTTGGTAATGTTTTGTTGCATAATTCACACTCTAGTTGATCATTACAGAAGCGCAGCAGCTGCTTTCGAAAATGAGTCACATGATGACAATAGAATAACGTTTTAGTCGTTATATTTACAGATTTTGAGCAGATATAGCAAACAGTAGGCACTGGGCAAGAGTTTCTTTTATCTGCAAAAGTAGAGAAGTTGAGTGCAGCTTTGTTTTTGCGCCTTTTCATTCTCAATTTAAACTTTCTTGTGAGCTTAGGATTAGAAATCCACTTCTCATTCACTTTCCTAGTTTTCCTCAACGTTTTTGATAAAGTCACAAGCCTTGAGGTTTCAGATTTCTTGTTCATGACAACAGTTTGATTTTCTTTAACATCTTTAGCATTATCAATGTTGACTAATTTCTTGATCTTCATTTTCTTATACTTTCGCTTAGTGTTGCTCACAAATCTTTCATACTGGTGATTTTCCGGAATATAATGTTTAAAAATTTCATGGATAACAAATACATGCCTGCCAGTATTTCGTGTGCTGTAAAGGGCTTCGTTGCAAAATCTACACTGTGTCTTGTTGATAATGAATTCTGATATTTGTTTCTGAAAATGCCTTACATAATGATCATAAAACTGAGTTCTGGTTCTAGTTTCCAATGGTTTGGAGCAAAGGAAACAGATTGGATTTGAACTCTCAGTTTTAGTTGTGCATTTGATCAAAGTATTCTGTAAAGATTTGCTCTCATCATCTTTGTTGTTTTTATCATTACAATTATCTTCAACATTACAATCTTCGTCATCATCAGTAGTAAAGCATTCATCGTCCTCTGATTCTATCAACTGTTGATCGGAAGCATCCTTTCCATCATGATCGACCTTTTTCCTCTTCCTGCTGGAGACAGGAACTAGAACAATATCTCCGAAACTAACAGATAGATCTTCACCAGGTTCAACCTTCTCCAGGATATTGTAGACAGCTGGCTTCTCTTGTACAATCTCTATATCAGATTTGTTGTGTTCACTTGAACTATTTGTATTTAAACTAGGACTAGAAACTGAGGTAGATGCAGGGGACAATACGCCAGGTGGGAGTAAAGAATACAGCTTTTTGTGAGCAATTGCAACATGCCGAATTAGCTTATGTTTTTTTAAATTCAATTGTTTGTTACATAATTTACAAGTGTTTCCAACAACAAATTTACTTAATTCTTGTTTGTAATGTTTGACATAATGACTGTACATTTTTGATTCACATTTGCCATAGGATGTTCCAGGGACTGTTGTAAAAGTGTAATTACATTTGAAGCAGGCATATGTTTCATTCTTGGGACTTGACCTCTTGTATTTTCTGCGAATATTCTTCTCTATCTTTTCTTTTGCATCTGAAAGTTTCTGCTCTGAATCTGAATTTGAAACTCCGGAATCTTGTGTGGATTCATTTTCAGAGGTTTTACCAGGATCCACTGGTGTTTCATCATCTTCCTCCTCCGTACTACCTAACTCTGTTACACCACTATCCTCTGTATCCTCATCTGAGAGATTTGACCTTTTCTTTACCAAATCTATCCTAGTCACCTTTCTTAATGATTTTTTAGAAGTCTGACCTTCTTCTTTAAGAACCTCTTTAGTGACAGCTTCATTTTTAACCCCCACCTTCTCAGCAAAATCATTTTTGGTTTCTTTGTCGCTATTTACTTCTAAAATCTCTTCCGCATTACTGTTAACTTTTTCATTCTTCAATACAACTTTTTCTTTCTGCATTCCATCTTCTTCTTTCTTAACTCCATCTTCTTCTTTCTTAACTCCATCTTCTTCTTTCTTCACTCCATCTTCTTCCTTCTTCACTCCATCTTCTTCCTTCTTCACTCCATCTTCTTCCTTCTTCACTCCATCTTCTTCCTTCTTCACTCCATCTTCTTCTTTCTTCACTCCATCTTCTTCTTTCTGCATTCCATTTTCATGTTTCTCTTCTTTTTCAACTCGAATATTATCGCCATCTTCCTCTTCAACAACCTCCATTTTCTCCAATTTATCATCCTTGTGTGTGTCCTTTCTTGCAAAAACCACATCATACATCCCCTTTTCTGGCATGTAATCAAAGAGCTTCATATGTTTTACCCCAACATGAACCAGCAACCGGTACTTAGTGGGAAAAGATTTAGAACATAAATGACAATCTAGACCTGTGACTATGTTTAACAATTCTTCTCTAAAATGTTGAATAAAATGATTATAGTAAGTTGTTCTCGTTGAGCAGTCGATCATTCTAGAACAGATACAGCAAGATGTCTGTTTTTTCCGTCCATCTATTTGAACAGACCCATCAGTTGTGTTCTCTATAACAACAATATTTTTTGAAGTTCCAACTGTGGGAGGATTCATGCAAACATTATTGATTGGAGTACTAGTCTGACTATTAGCAAACTCTCCAGAATTTGTTTCCAACTTCGCATCTTCTGGGATAAATTCAAGAATCTTCTTGTGAGTTAGTCCTACATGTCGGTATAAAGTTTTTGGAACATTAGGATCAAACGTTTTCTCACAATAATCACAGGAGGAAGTATTCGAGTTGAAACCGCTGAGTTCCACTTTCAAGTGATTGCAATAATGGTCTAACATGTCATTAAACTTTCTATATCTCACGGTTTTCTTGCAGATATAACAAACCTTTTCTTTGATTGGCTTACTAGTCCGACTTTCAGCAGCAGCTATATGGCTAGAGATCTCTCTGATTGGAGTACTAGTCTGACTTTCAGCAGCAGCTATATGGCTAGAGATCTCTCTGATTGGAGTACTAGTCTGACTTTCAGCAGCAGCTATATGGCTATAGATCTCTCTGATTGGAGTACTAGTCTGTCTTTCAGCAGCAGCTTCATGGCTAGAGATCTCTCTGATTGTAGTACTAGTCTGACTTTCAGCAGCGGCTACATAACCAGAGGAATCTCCGATTGTAGTACTAGTCTGACTTTTTGATGTTTCATTTTTTAGTTTAGGATACATGGCACTAATTTCACTTACATCTAAAGACACTGTAAAATTTGTTTCCAACTTCGCATCTTCTGGGATAATTCAAGAATCTTCTTGTGAGTTAGTCCTACATGTCGGTATAAAGTTTTTGGAACATTAGGATCAAACGTTTTCTCACAATAATCACAGGAGGAAGTATTCGAGTTGAAACCGCTGAGTTCCACTTTCAAGTGATTGCAATAATGGTCTAACATGTCATTAAACTTTCTATATCTCACGGTTTTCTTGCAGATATAACAAACCTTTTCTCTTTGCTTGGTCACAGATACTTTTCTCCTCTCAAAGGGTTCTAACTTGACTTCAGGTTTTACCTCTTCTTTAATGCCAGCTGATAAACTTGATTTAGGATTAATTCTTGCAGTTAGAGGAATAAACTGTTCTACTAGTGAGTGCCCCCGACCAATATGAACTGCAAGGCGTCGAGGTTTTGAGTATTTAAGCAAGCAGATCCTACATTCAGATCTAGATCCATTGTTCTTTATTAGCTGGTCCTGGAAATGAACTGAGTAATGATCATAAACTAAACACCTGGTGACTGGACTCAGTTCTATAGAGCAGACAAAACATCTTATAGAAGGTTTATCTGAGTGTTCAACCTTAGTGAGACCGTGGGAGTTTTCTCCTGAAACCCGTAGATCCTGTGACAGTGGGTTAATGCTTGTTAACGCTGCAAATTTTGGAGAATACTGAAATATATTTTGAGTTCCATAGTTGTTATATTGTAACCTATTCATCGCTAATCTATCCCTCTGTCTTGCTTCTTCCTTTTTCAGCAACATTGCCATTCTTATATCTCTAAAAGTTCCAGAAACCTTCAGAACTTTTGGATTCTTCGGAACTTTAGGAACCTTTTCTTTAGGAGGTTTCTTCTTATTAATAGGACTGACCGACGTGCACTGAGCTTGAATTTTCTTCCAACTTTCTCCCGACATAATCTGTTTTGATGGATACTCTGTACTGGTGGTTTGATGGTTTGTGTTATCCTGCTTCATGAAGGAGTACGGCGTCATCTCCAGGTTGCCTCTGCAGAACTTGATCACCTCCTCGGCATACGCTTGCGCAGTACACACCGGTACATTCTGCGCAATATGGTTGATACTTCTCGGATGATCAATCTAAAAATATTATTAAATTAGATTTTTCTTTATCAATCATGATGTCAGAAGATAATTGGCATGCATCACTCAATTGTGGATATTAAAAAAATACATTTACTTTATGAAAAAAATGACATTAATAACTGGTTATACTGGGAAAAAGATTTCTCTAATAAAGCCTTTTATTAATATTTACAATACTCCAAATTTAGTATTAACCTTCTAAAATTTTATAAAATTGGAATACGATGTTGCTAAAAAATATGAAACAAAATGGCGTACACAAAATGGCGTACACAAAATGGCGGAAACAAAATGGCGGACACAAAGTTGCCCAGAAATTAAGAAAATAACTAGAGAACAATAATTTAAGATCAGTTATTCCCCAATTACTTATTTCGTTTTTATAAACGACTAACAAAAAACAATAAGTGGGACTTGAGATTTGAATTAATAATACAAACTATTTTTTAGTTTTTGATGTTTTTTTAACTAACGTTGCAAAAATTCTTATTCTCGGGAAAATTACAAAAATATTTTCTCCATTGACTCCATTGATAAAGGATGTTTTATTTCTAAAGATTGGAATGCTTTTCAACTGAATAATATTTTCACCCAAACAATTTATAAATGAACCAGGTAGAACGTATAATTTTGGCTTGAGAACAATAAGCTATAACTTTTATTAATTTATCAATGCAAGTGATTTCATAAATATGTAATAGACCAAATCTAGGCGGCACAAACAATAGAAATTGAAACTGAGTAAAACTTAAAACTATTCTAACGGAAAATGAACGCTTGTCTCAAGTTTAGAATAAAAAATGCTAATGTTAAATTTAATTTTTCACAGCTGTTATTGATAATGGAACGCATAATGAATAAACTAAATAAAAACAGAATAACCGGGGTGAACTAAATACAGTTCTGCCATTTCATCTGACAAATAATTGGTAGCTCTAACTACACCTAGATTTCTGAATAGTCCCTTTACTAATTCACCTGAAAGTCCAAGGGTAATCCCATTAGATGCATCATCTCACGAACATTCAGATATCTAAACCAAACAAAACCGTTAAAAATAATAAAAAGAATTTTAATTCATTAGATCAAAAGAAGTATTTTTAACTATTAAAAATAAATTGATCAATTGATAAATTGGATAAATTGAACTCAAAAAATCACATCAATAAGCTTTTAATAGGATGGTTAAACACAGATGCCCTGATGGGGAATGGATTAAGGAGGGGGTGGTTCAGCTAGGTCTCCGTACGTAGTTCAACTATATCTAGCTATTTATTAAATCTGGATCCAAGGATACAACATAGTTTCTAAGTATAAACTGTACCTGTCCTCTACCGGGTGTACAGCTGTAATCATACTCTTCCTTATCATAGCTGGCCAGTAATCCAACCCAACAAATCTAGATAGTAGATATCATGCAGTAATCATAAAACATAATTAAAATTCTGCTGTCTGATGGCTTGTTTGGCTCTTTGTTTGTTTGTTTGTGTCCTATAAACGTCAAAACTGCTAACCGATCAGGGTGCAATTTTGTGAGCAAACTCAAATTGACCATTAAGAAGATATTTGCAAAAAAGGGGTCTCTCTTATATTTTGTTAAATTTTTTGCAAAGTTTAAAATGCAAACTTTTACAGATTACAGTCTAAGAGTTTTTATTTGTGTGGTGCTCAAAAGTCCATTTAAATTTCAAAGTTCTAAAAAATCGAACCTAGTTAATGGGCACCAGAATATTGAAAAATGAAAAATAAAAAGAATTTCCTTGAAAAAAGCAAGATTTAGAATAAATGAAAATACACTAAAATTGAATTGTGTTATTGATGTATTAACAATAACAATAAGCTAAGATTATATACACTCAAATAATTACAACGAGCAGAGTGTCCCAAAAAATACTGGTTTCGACAAATTTTTTTTTTAAATCATCAGAAGGAAAGTCAACAGAAGGGAAGAAAAGAATAAGATTGAAACAATAACAAGAAGATGAAGCAAATCAGAATTTGTCTGTATCAACAGTATCCAATTTATAAAATTAAAAAATCAAAAATAATAAATTGTTAAAAAATATACGGAAAACTAGATAGTAATTGAAGTATTCACAAATATATGCTTAACATAAGATCCAAACAAAAGTGTTTTCTAATTTCTTGGGCGCTACAGCGATTTTAAATTCTCATTACTTCTAGTAATTTACACTAGGTAGTTTACTAGTTTACACACACTTTTTGTTTAAACAATTTCTCAATGTCAAATTTCTATTTACCTAGTTTCTTTTTGAAATTAATGGTATTGTGAAAATAAAAATGGATGAATTCTTTCAATATTATTACAATAAAATTCTTCCAAGTGCAGCAGGATTATTTATACGAAATTAAAGTTGTTCAACCAAAATTAAGCTTCTTTAATCTTGACGCAACTGAACATGTGAGTATGTCTAAAGATATTTTTCCAAAAATATAGCAGAAATCTAGCGTAAAACAAATTTGATGGAAAATACACAAACATTGTAGTTTTAAATTCAAAAGGGGAACCTATAACCTAGAAATCTAGTTTTAACAAAATATTGTACAAATTGTATACACGAGCAAAAATCGAATAATTATTTTATCCTAAATTGCAATAAATTGTGTAAAATTCTTACGAATCAAAGCATTTCTTAAGTTGGTTGATTGTATAAAAAAAAACTCGGTAGAAAAAACTCCTTTCTACTAATTCTTCGTAATCTTAAATATTTTGTGACTGAATTTTAGGTGAAATGAAAAAGGTTTAAATCTTAAACAAGCAGGAATACTACACCAGCTCTCTTAGATTGATTAAAGCTTTTTCTAAGAATTTCTCAGTAACTTGTATAGAAAAATAAACTCGTGCTAAGTAATAAAAAAAATCTTCAAGTCCGCATATTTTTCTGGTGCTTATTTTAATTTCTAAGCATGTTCTTTAGTAAATAAAGAACTGAATTAGTGTAAAAACCTGAATTTTCAGAAGTTTTCTGCAAAACATTTATTCTAAAATCATTTTTATCAGTTTCATATCGTCTGCACAAAGATGGTATTTCTCAACAGTCGCAACTTGCGGATCAGAGATCAGAGACAAGAAGGGAATTGGCAGAAATAAAACTCTTTTCAAGATAGAAAACTGAGATGAGAGGCGTAACTACAGCCCCGAGGGAGGGGGGGGGGGGAAACGGAGATGGGAAGGGCAACTACAGGCCCGAGGGGGGGGGGGGCTGGTGGAAAATTGAAATATTTCTAACCTTGGTGAATCATCCCAGTATCCTAAACCCTTGTTTACTTTCATCCTTGCGTGCTCCAGATATTGGATAAAGGTTCGACATTTCTTCCCACCAGCCTGAGCAATCAATCAATCAATCAGAATATAATTTATGATTTGATTAATGTTTTAGTTTTAAAGTATGTAATTCTTTTCCTGTCCTATTATTATTGAGTTTCTGAAAGAGACTGTAAGTTCAAGTGATCCTCCATGCAAATAGAGTATGAAAAAAACATCAATGTTTATAAAGTTGAAAACTGATTATTTCAAATAGTTGTTTCTCTATACCAAAGTGAGTTGTGCATTTCTATTTCTAAGAAAAAAAAATATCCTCCAAATTATTGAAATTATTGATCAGTTCAAGGTTTCAAAGGTACCGTTGTGAATCGAAGATTGAGATCTTTGCATGGGGGTCACTTAAAATTGCATCATACCCCTAAAGTTCGTTTTCCTTTACTTTTTTACTCACACCATCTTTTAAAATTGAGTACCAGGGTTTGTGAACAAGAAAGCTTTTAATTGCTGTGATTTAGACTTTTAAAAAACTAAATCATTATGGTTTCAAAAATGTAGCCAACACCTGGTTTAAAAATTATATTGTTAATAGAACTCAATATGTATAAATAAATGGAGCTTTTTCAACAGAAAAAATTACAACATGTGGTGTTCCTCAAGGAAGTGCAGTTCTAGGGCCCCTGCTGTTTCTGCTTTATATAAACGATTTGCCCCTATGCAATATCTTTTTCACCAGCCTCTTTGCAGATGATACTAGTTTTTTAAAGTCATTTCCTGACATTGCAAGCCTAATACTTGATGCAAACACTTAACTAAAAAAAGCACCAAAATGGTTTCAAGCAAATCGTTTGTCACTAAATGTCTCCAAAACAAAGTATATAGTATTTAGAAATAAAAATATGCACTTTGACCCCAACAGTTGTAATATATCAATAGGAAATGAGATACTTGGAAAGGATTGGTAATGACTGTGTGAACAAATATTTTAAATTTGTTTGACTTAAACTTGACGAATTTTTAACTGGGATTTTCAAATTGAACATATCTCGAATAAAATTGCTAGCTCAATCTTTGCTTTGTCTCAAATTAAGAATATCTTACCATTAAATATTTGTCTACTTGTTTATAACTCTCTGGTAAGGCCTCATATTGAATATGGAATTGTTACTTGGGGAGGTGTTAAAAACTCTAAACTGCAAAAATCAGATCTTTGCAAAAAAAAAGGCAATCAGAGCGGTTAATAATAGTACTTTCAAGGTACATTCAAATCCATAATTTTCAAAACTGAAAGTTCTTAATCTTGATGATACAAACAAACTTTGTGTTCTGACATTTATGCATAGATACTTTAATGATAACCTTCCCTCTTCCTCCCAAAATATGTTTAAGTCTTTAGCTGAACCGAATAGAACAAAATCATATGAATTAGAACGGGTTTTAAACAAAAATTTAGAAAGCTTTCCGTCTGCAATGTTTCCTATTGAAATTGACCTTAAAGAAACTAAATCTGCAAAATATTTAAACAAAGAGTAATCAATAATTATCTTGAGAATTATGAGAGGTTTAAATGCGAAAAACCTAGATGTATATCGTGTGAATCAATTTTATATAAAAAAATAAAATAACTGAAACTTTGTTAGCTTATTTCTGTTTCTGTAACTGCCGTCATTAACACCCTGTATTTTTATTTATCTCTACATAAAAACCCCTCTGATCTCATCCTATCACAGATCACCTGACAATCTCCTTCCTTCCAATCAACTCCTTACCTATCCAAAAACATATCTTGATATGTGTAACCAATTATATTTAGTATTGTTAATTAACTTCGGGCCAACCACTCAAAACAACCAACCCTGGTTAGGCGGGTCCAACCTGCATAGTAAATTGTGATTGCTTATTTGTAATATCTCATGCTTTGTAGTTGAATAAATATATGAATGAAGGAATATGATTTCTTTTAATTGTAAAGTTATGATAATAGTTAATAATAGATCTGTTCTGAAACCAAATATGAATAAAATATCATTAAGTATTGAATAAAGTTTGACTAAAGATTAAAAATTTAATTGAAGAATTGATTTATTGATTATTGGACTACCCAATTTTTGGATTAATTGGCTTATTGATTTTTTAATACCAGATTAACAGATATATTAATTTGTTTAAAACAAATTAGTTGATTTTATCAATTATTTGATTATTTGATTGATTGAATTTCCTGTCCGTAAAATCCCTCCTCAGGATAGTGAATCTTCAACCAGTCAATGCACTCCTAAACAAACTCACTTAGAACTCAAGGATCAAGGTTCATTAGACAATTTAAAATTAATCCCCCTTTCCCTTCAATTTCAAAAAACAGGGGGGGGGGAGATATATTTTTAAAAGAGGGCTAAAAAAAAACCATTCTGAATCGACACTCTGAAATTAGTTTTAGACACTTTCATAAAATAATAAACTAAGTTTCAGCTTTAAAAAAACAAGAAGTTTAAGCATTGATCTAGATATCCACAATTCTAAAGTTTAGAACCCTTAACCCTGCGGGGAAAAGCTGACTTCAGTCGACGTGTTGTCCTGTTGTGGGTTTAGCTAAGATGTGCACTGATAATGTTTCGCGGATATTTTTTGTTAACTCGTTTATATATCAATAGATTTTTAATGAAACACACTGCTGAAAATGAACCATCAGGTTTTAAGTCAAAACGCCTAATATTTTTTCGGAATATATTAATATGCAGGCTTCTGAGTTATAATCTAAATTTTCAGAAAATTTTCAGAATTTTAATTAAATCCAGTTTAAATAAATCTTAAAACTTAAGTGCATTTAAAGTCTAAACTCAATCTTAATGTAGGTTTAAAGATTAATCAAGATTATTCTGTGTTTTTGTGATATTTTTAGAACCGTTGATGGCAGGGTCCCCAAATTTTGAGAATTTTCCTTAATAGTCAGAAGACATGTTTCAGCATAAAAATCAAAGCCTTAAGTGAACTGTATAATTGCCCAATTACTGCCTAAAAAAGACTTTTTGAAGTAAAACCAGTAAAAATTACATAAAAAAAACGTTTTCGGGCGGCATTTTGACAGTCATGCAGATGACTTAGGGGTTTGATTTTTTGCTACAATAAGTTTCTTGACTGTTAAAGAAAAATAAAAATTTGAAGACCATGTCATTTACTGTTAAAAAAATATCGTCAAGAAACCCAGAAGAAGCAGATTAAAGTCTTGAAATGACATTTTAGTTTAATTTAAGACCTGTGAATGCACTTGATTTCTACAATTTCTTAAATCTTAATTTGCTCAAAATTCCCTAGGTGGCATTTTCTGAAAACTAGAATATAACTCAGTAGCCTGCATATAAACATAATCCAAAGAAAAAGTTTAGGTGTTTTGACTTGAAACCTGATGGTCCATTTTCAGCAGTGTGAAAACTTTGGACAATAATGAAAAATAAAGATTTGCAGATCAATTTCTGTATATTTTACTTCGGTGTTGTTACAATAATTACTGTTCGCTTTTAACACCCAATACGATTGTACATAGGGAAATTTAGATTTTTTGGGACAATATTTATAAAATCAAGCTTTTTGGGTTTTCTCGGACAGTTTGGACTGACAAATTCCTCGTACTACTTTCTGGGACCCGGATGTTTGTCGTCGAATATGTCCTTTTACCCCATTAAACAGTAAAATGTCCTTACTTCCTTGACTGGGAAAAATGGATAAATCTTAATAGTGACATAAATGCATAGATCCTCTCTTCAGCCCAATAAGCAATTATATTTCGAGATTGGAAGATTTAAATATCTTAACATATCATTTAAATAATTAGAAACCCAATTTATTCCAACAAAAAGATTAAATGTTTAGAAATCCCCCTCCCTCCGCCCCTCCCCACCTTTATGGTTAGATATCGAAGTTTTTCACATACATTGTTAATGTATATATGTTTAAGATGTAGAACTACTACATGCAAAAATTTACATATATTTACATATTTTATCTAAGGTAAAAATCTCTGATTGTTTATTAGTTTGTTTGTATGTTCGATCATAACTCATGGTTTGATAATGAAGTTTTTCACATACATTATTAATGTGTAACATGTTTAAAATGTAAAACTACTATATGCAAAAAATTGACATACATTTGCATATTTTATCTAAGGTAAAAATCTCTGATTGTTTATTAGTTTGTTTGTATGTTCGATCATAACTCATGAGTGGGCTGATTTTATCAATAAAAGTTTAGTTTCTAGGCAAAGTTAATCCCCAAGAAAGTGAAAAATAAAATTGGTGCAACAAACTTCCCGAAGAGCCAGAATGATTGATAAATTCTGTCATGGTAATCTTCGCTTTATTGTCTAAAAACACGATGAATGTATTTATTACTCTGTCCCACGGGTAGATCGTTGAGTTGAACTTCGTAGTGTTTTCAAACAAATGCAGGGGTGTATATTTTTCAGAAATATTTTTGATTTCTTTGAATTATTTTTGATTGGACAAGAAAATTCATTAATTTTCATCTAAACATAATTTATTTTCCCCAATTACTTATATAAATTTTTTTAACAACTGGAGGAAACAATATTTTCAAAAGGGGGTGGAAGAAAAAAAAGATTTTTCGAGAAAATCACACCCCTGAACAAACGAGAGAAAATGAATAAATAAAATGTGGACGTTTACCTGAATAAGATTTGCCTTGAAAAGATAATCCGTGATGGTTCCCTTGACGAACTTTTGTGAGAACTCTGCGTGAGATAATCCCTCCCTCTGCAGGACAAACAGGTAGGGTTTAAACCTATCCGAGGCTAGACCCGGAGTCATGTACCAATCCTGGGACAGTTTTGAGTTCAGAATAAAATCAAATTAAGTGGGTTTTCATCAGTTTGTATAAAAATAACCTTTAAATTTTTATCTGGGAAACTTTTTTCTGGAACTTTTTCGCAAAGAAAATATGTTAAAGGCGTGACCGGCAATGCAATGTATGGTAGTTGAACTGAGAATGCCGTATTGTAGAGTAATTTTTTAGGATTTCAAAAAATTCAATTTAATGATAAAAAAAAAAAATTGATTCTAACATTGATTTATTGACAAATTTCTTTTTAAAAATATATTCCTCAACGTCCAATAAATTTACTTTAGAATATTTTTTACATTTTTCGTCGTCGTCATTAAAAAAAAAGATTCTCAAAATCATCTCTCCAGAATGAACGATGAAGGAGGATTCTAAATATTGAATTCGCACTCTTTCTGAACAAATTTGCACCGTAAAAACGTCTAATAGGTCTCAAATGAATCCTAAAAAAATTCTTTACAAAACTGCATTCTAAGTTCAACTACCATTCATTGCCGGTCACTCCTTTTAAGGCATCTTTTTTAAGTAAGAAATTATTTATTTATAAATAATAATAAAAAAAATACAAAACTAAGTGTTTAAGGAGGTAATATTTAAAAACCTCCAAAAATAAAGGCTTGAGAATATTTCTCTCCAATTCAGAAAAAAAGAAAAGGAAAGGAAAAGGAAAGGAAAGAGAAAGGAAAGGAAATGTAAAGGAAAGGAAAACGAAAGGAAAGGAAAAAGAAAGGAAAAAGAAAGGAAAAGGAAAAGGAAAGGAAAAGAAAAGGAAAAGGAAAGGAAAAGGAAAGGAACAGGAAAGGAAAAGGAAAGGAAAAGGAAAGGGAAAAGAAAAGGAAAGTTTCATATTTATTGTTTACGTTTTTTAAATAATTGGCGTGGAATTGTCCGTAGTAATCTTTGACGATGAATTCACAACTATATATTTGACACTAATATTGAAAAAAATAAAATAGGTTTTATTCGTAAAGATGTCAAACGTAGATAGAAGTAAGAATGAATTAGATGAAAATCAATTGATTAAAAATATTTTTTTGAACCTTAGCTTTGAATGTATTGTATATATAAGTGGGTATCAGTAACGAATTCGCTATTCATTATTGATTTATATATATATTTATTAAAAATAGCAAAATCTTCTATATTTTACAATTTAAACAATTAATCTATATATAAATTTGGCTTGTCTGTCTGTTTGTTTGTTTGTTTGTCTGTCTGTCTGTTTGTATCCAATAAACGTCAAAACGGCTGAACCGATCGGGCCCAAATTTGTTGTGGGACATCAAGGGACCACACGGAAGGTTTATGAAAAATCAAAATTTCAAATATTTGTCTCCATCAAAATTCGATTTCCATTAAATTTTTTAAAATTTTGAAAATCCACGAAATTTTTTGTGAAAATCCGCGAATTATTTTTGTTTTGTTTTACGTTGTACACAAAGAGAACATGTTCACAATTAATTTAGAAGATAAGGCTAGTTTATAGATAAATTTGGCTTGTCTGTTTGTCTGTCTGTCTGTTTGTTTGTATCCAATAAACGTCAAAACGGCTGAACCGATCGGGGTCAAATTTTTTGTGGGACATCACGTGACCACACGGAAGGTTTATGAATGATAAAAATCTTAAAAAAAAGTGTTTTAAAGGTTTTCAATTTTGTAAAAAAATTGAAATTCTTGAAAATCCGCGAATTTTTTTTTAAATCCGCAAAAATTTTTTCTTCTTTGTTTTAAAATGTAAACAAAAAGAACATGTTCACAATTTAAATAGAAGATGGACGCAAAGCGCTCTAAAAGCCTAGTAATTATAAAATTGAAAAGAGAAAACTTTGTTCTAAATCTTATTTTCGGCAATTCACTTTCTAGCAACTTTTTCAATGAATTTAAACTTTTATTAAAGACATTCCACCTCCCCCCCCCCCCCGTTAAACATGTATTCTACGCACATTTCTGAAGTTTCTTACGTCGCTAAGTTCTGAGATTTTTATTTAATCAAAATTGTAATTTAAAATACAAAATTATTTTTTAATTTAAGTTAATTAATTTAAGATGGCAGGAATGATGTTGAAAAATTATGGGGCGTAAACAGGAATTTTTCCAAGGGGGGGGGCAGGAATTTTTTTCCAGGAGGGGGGGCTTAATCTTTTTCTTTTTTCCAAAGGGGGTTGGGCTCAGCAGTCAGCACGCGTTGGGGCCTGAAAGCCTAGATTTTACTGATCCAACGCACAGTCACCCTCCCCCATGTGTACGCCTCTGCACTGCAAGACCACTAACAAAAGTAAAAGTTTTTTTAAAAATCCAAAAATGTTGAACTCTAAATGTGCCTGGTGTGTGGCCGAGCTAGGGATTTCAGAAAGAAACTCCACCAGCTTCTTTCTACCAACTTTCTACAACAAAAAAAAAATTAATATAATACAAGATTTTTTACAGTCAGAGTCAAATATTGTAACTTTCTGAATTTGTATTAACATATTTATGATTTTACAACCTTCCATGAGAGGATAGGGACAGTTTCTGATCTCCAGAAGAAATAGAAAGTTCTGATTCTACGCTGCGGGATACCATGGAGCTCAGTATTCGTCTTCACAGCAGAAAAGGAGTAGTTGAACCTGAAAAATTATAAGTGACTGTGAGCGTAATTTCAAGTGACCCTCAATGCAAAGATGTCAACGGTACCCTTAAAACCTTTATCTGATCAATAATGTGGAAAATATTGTCGTTTTTCTAACTATTAGAAACATCAATATTTGAAACATCAATATCTATTTCATACTTGATCCGACAAAGTGTAAGAGGGTACCGTTGTGAATCATGCATTATCATCTTTGCATTTAGGTCACTTCAAATTAAGCTTACAGTCCCTTTAAAGGAAATGTATAAGAGATAATTTTAAGTGACTCTATATTTAGAGTGGAATGTCGGGTTCACAACGGTACCAATACTGACTTTGTTTGATCAAGAAGCATGAGATATTGAATATATCAACCTCCATAAATACTTGTTTTTTTCAATTGCGCATTTTTGCTTCAGAAACAATGAAGGAAATTGACGGAATAAAAAATTATCGAGCTAGAAAAAAACAATATGTTCAGTAGCTTGTTAATAAGAAAGCAAATGTATTTATCTGTAACTTCAATTCAAAAGAAAGGTAATATTAAAAGTAAATTGTCCTTTTTTAATATAACTTCAAGTGTTCGCCTACTATTTCAGTGATTAATTTCCTGAAAATACCCCCCCCCCCCCTCAGACCCGATTACCTTCAATAGACTAAAAATATAAGGTATAAGGATTAAGATCGGACCACCCCCCCCCGCTACCGCGCTACGGCAGTGTTCTAAAATGTTGTTAAGTTACTTTTCTCTAAATTTTGGCTGCATTTGGTTAAAATAAATGAACGCAGAGAATGTAAGTAAAAACTAAATGGATAAATGAATTTAAGAATTCTTCTTGAAGGAGGCAAATCTAAACCTAGTCTGAAAATATTAGAGCAGTAATTTTTAAGATTCAAAATCCAAATTTATTCAGTGGACAAATTTTAATTTGAATTATACGGATATGGATTAACACCTCTCCCCCCTCCCCTTAAAAAAATGTAAAACACACATAAAAGGGTTAACGTTGAATTATAAATCTTCCTGGCATATGTGGGATGGGGATAAATGCTTTTAGCATGTGAAGGNAGTAAATGCTTAATCAATACCTTGCTCCTATTTCTCTAAGTGTACTCAGCATCTCATCTCCAACTATGCAGGGGAGGGGTGGAGGGGGGTACTACTACTAGTAAATGCTTAATCAATACCTTGATCCTATTTCTCTAAGTGTACTCAGCATCTCTTCTCCAACTATGCAGGAAAACATTTAATAAATAAAATGGTTTAATGGAACAAAGAACGTCTCAAACAACATCACGTTAAATTCGTAATCAAGCTAAAAATATTTAAATGAACGAACGGAAAAATGGAAAACATTTGTAAAAGCATATTTAATAGAATTTCTGAGTGCTGGGAAAGAAACATGGAAGTTACTCGTTATAGAACATTGTGTAATGAATGCATTGAATGCATTGAATGTATTGAATGCTTTGAATGCATTGAATGTATTGAATGTATTGAATATATTGAATGCTTTGAATGTATTGAATGTATTGAATGTATTGAATGTATTGAATGTATTGAATGTAAAGAATGTATTGAATGTACTGAATGTATTGAATGTATTGAATGTACTGAATGTACTGAATGTATTGAATGTACTGAATGTACTGAATGTATTGAATGTATTGAATGTATTGAATGTATTAAATATACTGAATGTATTGAATGTACTGAATGTACTGAATGTACTGAATGTACTGAATGTACTGAATGTATTAAATGTATTCCTGAAGTAAAAAGACCGGGAGCGTTCTCCCCCCAGAAACATTTAGGTTTTATAGTTTCCAGGACAAAAACAGCAGATCGTATCATCCATTGATTCTGCACAGCATCTGAACCTCGTGACTTCTCTCCTAGAATAAAAGACGATGTTTTCATTTTATTAAAAATTCCCCCCCCCTTCCTCAAAAGTAATTTTCCCCAGGTTATAGGGAATTTCATACAATTTTTATTGTTGCTAAATTGGGATTTATATATTTGAAATGTCAAAAAGTATTAAAAAGGAAAAAACCTGACAGCTTAATGTCCAACCCCCCCCCCCTTCCTTATCTTCGAAAACAAATGCTAGCATTCATTGTTCCCAGGGCTAATCCTTCGGTCTAATGATTGTCAAAACTTTACATAAAAATAAATAAAAAAGGGGGAACCTTTAACTTGCAAAAAAAAACATCTAACTCTAATAAAATAGAAAAAATTTGCCCCGAGAAAAATATACAAATTTAAATTTGGGAAAGTTTAATAAAAGAGGTTACATTCCAGTAGAAAAATTTGTTTGGATCCGTCAATCCTGGTTTTGGAATCCACTAAAAAATCTGTTGAAAACAAGAGGAAAACTGTTAGTTTCGTTGTTTACCTTTTGACGTATTTAGCATAGATAATCCAGCGCAGGGGCACACTGTGTTGATGAAATCAATATCCTAGATAATCAAAGTTAAAGAAATATTCACTTGAAAATCAAAAAAATCGTAACTTAGATTTTACAAAAAATATTAATGATTTGAAATTTCATCTAAAGCTTGTCTGTGTTTATGGTTAACTTCTATATATAAACTTTACATGTCTGTCATTGTGTTTGTTTGAATCCAATAAACATCATCAAAACGGCTGAACTGATCGGGCCCAAAATTGTCGAGGCATCTCACATGATGCCCAGAACTATAAAATTTGTCGCCAAAAAAAATTTTATGAAGTAAAATTTAAAGCATCCACGAATTAAACATTGAACTTCTCGAATTTTTTTTTTATTTTTGTTTATTATTGTACGAAGAGAACATGTTCACAGATAGAGCCACAATTAAAAGTTAAAATATAGGGGAATCTGTGTTTTCTTCAGATCTATATGAGGAATACTTATTACTTATCCTTCTAAACTCTTGGGAATCTGTGTTTTCTCCAGGTCTATATAAGGAATACTTATCCTTTTAAACTCCTGGGAATCTGTGTTTTCTCCAGGTCTATATAAGGAATACTTATCCTTCTAAACTCCAGGGGAATATGTGTTTTCTCCACATCTATATAAGGAATATTTACCCTAGTAAACTCCAGGGGAATCTTGTGTTTTCTCCAGATCTATATACAGGGAATACTTACCCTAGTAAACTCCAGGGGAATCTTGTGTTTTCTCCAGATCTATATACAGGGAATACTTATCCTTCTAAACTCACGGGAATCTGCGTTTTTTTCAGATCTATATAGAGAATACTTACCCTTCTAAACTCCAGGGGAATCTGTGTTTTCTCCAGGTCTATATAGGGAATACTTACCCTGGTAAACTCCTGAGGAATCTCTGTCTTCTCCAGATCTATATAGGGAACATCTGGCCAGTATCGACAGAGATGGCGTTCATTGTTTCCAAAAGCTAGGATTAAGCAAATACAAGATATATATATATGTTTATTTATTCCTCTTTATTACTAGTTTTGATTTTAAAAATATACGATTTTTACTAAGAACAAAAAATGTTAGTAAAAAATTGAAACTGTGAACATTTAAAGTTTATTTTTGCTCAATCCTGAAATCATGGAATATTTTATTAATATATTGGAAAAAAATAAAAATAGTATATTTCGAAAATCCTTAATTTATTTGGAAAGGAATCACTGGGCCATTTAGAACAAATACTATTGAACAAAATTAACAAAATTGAGGAAAATGGAAAATTTTCAAATAAAATCAATAAAAAGGTTAAAAATCTAAAGGTAGAAAGTTTCAAAAATATTCAGGGGTAAATATTTTTAATAATGACACACCCTCATGAGCCGGGGGGATGATTAAAAAAAATATTTGCTCCAAAAAATCATTCCTTAAGAGTATTACAAACAATTACTCAAAAAAATGTAGAAATTGTATCAACCAGGCCATTAGCCAGGGGGGTGCAGGACAGGTGCACCCTTTTTTTCTAAAAGGGGGAGCAACGACAAATTTGCCCCCCCCCCCACCACAAAAAAATATGCTTGGCATAATCTTCTCTTGAATAATTAAGATATTAGCATTTCGAATTTTCCTAAATTATATTGATTCTGTATTTGGCTCCCAAAATATTTGTTAACAAACGTTGTACCTTCAGATAACCCAAATAAAATTATTTTCCAGATTGAAACCATGCAGTACAAATTATGTACACTGTACAGTACTATGATATAATATTGAACCATAGATGAAACATGCCGTACAAATTGTACACTGTACAGTACTATGATATAATATTGAACCATAGATGAAACATGCAGTACAAATTGTACACTGTACAGTACTATGATATAATATTGAACCATAGATGAAACATGCAGTACAAATTGTACACTGTACAGTACTATAATTTAATATTAAACCATAGATGAAAAATGCAGTACAAATTGTACACTGTACAGTACTATAATATAATATTAAACCATAGATGAAACATGCAGTACAAATTATGTACACTGTACAGTACTATCATATAATATTGAACCATAGATGAAACATGCAGTAAAAATTGTACACTGTACAGTAAAATGATGTATTATTGAACCTGTATAAGTGAGATGGAAGAGCGGTTTTGATCCTGCGGCATTACAGCATCCTAATGCACTACCCCCTATCAGGGGGATCATAGTACCCCATCTTATATCTCCTAGAAACCGTATTCATTTCATCATTTTTTAGCGAAAATTTTGCCGACCTCAAAACAGTATGATTTTTAATGACAAAAATAACGACTAAAGAATTATCATAATCCTCTTAAATGTACAATAATGTACATTGTAATATGTAAAAGCTTGCATGAAAAAAAAAAATGTTTCTTATTACTTTGATAAATCTTTAATTAGTCAATTTCGTAAAATTCCTTTCTAATAAGATTAAAAAATATATAAACAAAACCAATTTGGCTAGTATGTAGGTAGAGTGTTAAGACGAATTTAAGTTAAATAGGAAATTCACGTAAATTCACGTCAATCTAAATTTATTGGTATGTTCTTTAGAAAAAAGAATGTGATATACATATTTTTAACTTTATAAATGTATTACTTTACATTTCGAGTTCTCCATAAAGATGACAATTCAGAATTTCAGAAACCAAAACGATGGAGGATATACAGAATTAAGCATCTTTGAAGCTAGAAAAACTGCTGTCTTTCATATTAATGATGAGAGAATGGTCTTATGGGCACTATTGTGAATCGGGCATCCCCCTTTTTAAAACTTGGAATTACTTGACAGTCCCTTTAAATAAATATGTCATTGAAGATGAACCACATATTGCAATCAACGCCGTGTTAAACGATTTTTTGAATATTTTTGTACTTGCGAATTTAAAAAAGGATGAATGAATGAATAAATGAATCAAAGATAAAAGGATGAAAAAAGATGAAAAGAAGGGTGAATGAAAGAATGACTGACTGAATAAATTCCTTGAGGTTTAGTTTCAATATTTTTATCTTGCTCCACTATACTAGGCAGTATGGTCTGGTGTAAGGTATTCACAGGACAGCTAGGAGCGGGTTTATTCTCCAACATCTTGGAGTTGGTTGTACAAGGAACTAGTTGTGGGTTCATATCTCTACTATGATGTATAGATTCTAGTTTAGGTATTTTAGAATATAATTTATTTACTTCACATTCATTCAATCTTTCAGCAATAGAATGGTCCGTTCCAAATCCTATGGATGGTTGGGAGGTAGATGAAAGAGAAAATATACTCCCCGCAACTCGTGACTGTAGATTTAGAGAGCTAGGGTTGTACAGGGATAAATCAGGATTGTTAACGGATTGAGATCGCCCGAGATACAATCTTTCGTCCGCGCCATAGATTGGATATTGTTGAGAGGTGCTTGGACATTGTGGAGAGAATTGATAATTCAGGGTCGGAGATGGGTTTAGGACAGGTAAATGTTGTGGGTAGTTAAACTGTAGCGGAGAATCTAGACAGGGAGTGCTGGGCTGTTTACCAGAATAGCTGGAGGGGTCAACCTGATTAGGAGTCAAGGATATCTCATCCTCTTCTTCCCTACCCATTACATCATTTTATACTTCTCTGAAAACATAGTTCTTCATTTGGAAAATTACTGATTTAGTAATAAAAGAGTAAATATCCCCATTTCATGTTTTAAAGGGACTGTAAACAAAATGTCATGTATACTTCCATTGATAAGATTAAGAGTTCTCTAGGACAGAAACTGAGGTCCGTCCTAGAGAACGATTTTTGGACCCCCCCCCCCTCCAAAAATCGTTCCCAAAAATCGTTCTCTAGGAAATTACCAGAACCTGATTTACTGAAAAATGATTTGTGAATTAATTGATTCAGAAACATTTAAAACTTTATCAGAATGCCAGAAAAATGACGTTTTATTCAGCATTATTGATTCGATTTGGGTTTCACGGTTACCGTTATGAACCAGGCATGTCCCACTTTAAATAAAGGGTCCCTTTAAATTACGACGCCAGTCCCATTAAGTGGGGATACATTTCGGGATGAACAAAGATTATAGGAGGGGAGTCGGGGGTGAGTCCAAAAATCGTTCACTAGGACAGACCCCAATAATTATTAACTATGTCTTGGAATTTGTGAGGGATAGAACAAGTACACAAATATACTTTCAACTAATACTATAAAAGAAATAATAATTTGCCAAATTTAACCCGCCCGTTGGTTTAGAAAAATCAATTATAATGAAGCAAAAAATATTGATTTGCCAATACTTCGCTTCACGTCAATTTCGTCCATTTGATTTGTTTGATTTGTGAGACTGTAGTCACGTAGTGTACACAAGTAAGGGCAGGTAGAAAATATAAATCCAGGGTTCGCTATATGAGGATCATAATTTTTCTAAAGTTTTAACACATTATTTAAATTTTTGTTTTGAATCGGAGAAAATATAATAATTGTTTGAAAAGCAAAGCGGCAAAACAGCTGATCGACTTTCTTTTTCCCCAATGCGTTGCCTTTCTTCCTCCCGAAACTACCCCCCCTCCCCTCTCTAACAGGCAAAATCCCCCATACCGATCGTTGAAGAAACTGCAGGTGCAGGGGAGGGGATCATCACTGACTACGTCACTCATAGCTGTGCTTGATACAGGGGCGCGCGGATACTGGGCAAGGGGCATGTGCCCCCCTATGGCTCTGAGTTCTAGGGGGCGTAGCCCTCCCCCTAGAACTCAGAGCTAACTTTTCAAATCTTAAACTGAAGAGTGAAGACTGAAGAACAGGACAAAAATGGTTTGCTGTTTATAAGTTTGAGGAGAATCCCCCACCACAATAAAATAAATATTATTGCAGTGCTGTAATCTAATTTTCCCTATTAAGCTCACTGCAGAGTTTTGTTTGAAGGAGAGACAAAGTAGTACTTAAAGTAAGCAATTGCTAGGTGATTGGACTGTATACTGCGGTGTACCTTTAAAGTATCTTATACTTGTGCGACTTTTGTCTGATATCCAAGAAGTTAAATGCTCTGAATTTGCCCCCCCCCCCCCCTTAGGAGACTTGCATATAATAGCACTATTTAATTTAAAAGTAACACATAGGACCACAGCTAGTGCATATCTATCAAGGAAAAATTTCCATTTCTAGAAAACATTAAGATTATGAAAACTTTATACAAATATTAATGATATTTGTCTAAGGATGACCATGTTTACAATAAATATTATGAAGAAGATCATCTTCTTAATGGAAATGTAAGTATTCATATCTATAATGTGTTTTTGTTTGCTGAAAGAAACCTTATTTTATTAGAATATAATCTACATTTCTGGAAAGTAGCATTAAATCTAATTAAATCTAATTAAATCTAATTAAATCTAATTAAATCTAATTAAATCTAATTAAATCTAATACTGTTTCATCAATTGGACTTAGTCCTTTCTCTCCCAAAAATATTGGAATTTTTATATTAAAAATTAAGCTAACTTTAGTTGAAGGAATAAAGTTTTAGACTCGACTTCACAAATAAGGGTTTGAAGTGCAAAAAACTGCAGAAAAATCAGATCAAGTATATTTAATTCTATTCTGCCGAAACCCCTTTTTACTTTTAGTAAAACCAGTGGCGGATATAAGGAGGGTTATTGGGGTTATTTACCCCCCCCTAGAATCCTGGGGGTAAATACCCCCCCCTAGAATCCTGGGGGTAAATACCCCCCCCTAGAATCCTGGGGTTAAATACCCCCCCCTAGAATTCTAGGGGTAATTACCCCTGAACATATTTTCAGGCCCTGAATAGCAGGGGTTACTCCATTTGCTGCCTCTACAAGTAACAGTTCCAGTTGCCTTGACCCCTTCCATTCAAAAAAAAAAACATTCCCATTCCCTATTGATTAGTCTGCACTTGTGTAAAGACGACTATTTTCATGATAGTAAAAGTTTTTGCGGCATTTTGCAGATGCTTAAACTTTTAGTTCGGTTACTTCAGCAAAGTTCACTCACACACAACTCGTCATAATAAAAAATATATATATTATGAGTTAATTTCCTAAAATACGATTTTTGGACCCCCCTCCCCCTCCTTTTGTACATGGATATCATATCATATGTAAGACAATTTTTGAGCCAGCTAAGACTCTGAACATGCTGATTTTTTTATGTCTAGCTTTAAAATTTTATTGTGCAATAAATATAAAACAAATCGAACCCTTGTTTCTGTCCTAGAGAACGTTTTTGTGTCCCCCCCCTCCCTCCTGTAAATTTTTTACTTTTTTACTTTAATTAATCAAAAATGAAGATATTCTGAACAAGTTCTTAAGCGCCAAGCCGCGCAGACTTTATAATGGAGGAAAGAGTTGTTACTTTGTTTTTGTTTTTAAAAAATGGTTGATTTTAAAATTAAATATCTTTTAAATTTGCACGAAAACAATTAAAATGTTCACTGTGCAGATACGTCGGAATCAGATATTTCAAATTTTAAGTCAACATATTCTAAATGATTCTAAATTCTAAAGTAATAGTCAATGTCATTAAAATTAGATGTTTTTTAATAGAAAAAAAATGGTGTGGACAATAAAAAAACATTTTTATTTTTTACTTATAAATAATGTCATTTCCACATTAGATTTCGTTAAGATCTTAACATACTACATTGACGACAAGAAAATTTAACAATGAGTAATGACCATATTTTTTCAAAGTTTTGCAGAGTAGCTTTTCTAAAGATTTAAAAAAGTAACGTCTTTTTCCTCTTAGAGAAAAACTATTATTTTTTATATTACTGCCTTTTTTGTCAATGTTTGCCAGCAAACTTAATATAAAAAGTTTAGTTAAAATAAATAAATTCAGTTTTTAGTACAGATCTTTGTAGTTAATGTAAAATGAATGACTTTAATGAAGGGTATAAAACAAGGTGAAAGCTGAAAGGTATGTAATGAAGCCTTTATTAGATTGAGTTTGTAAATCCCAGAAATGAGTGGAAAATGCAAATCAAACCCAATTAAAACCAATAATTTGATATACATCATGATATTTTTCTAGGGGGGGGTAAAAAAATTTCTAGGGGGGGGTAAAAAAAATTTCGGCGCGCTTCGCGCGCAAAGTTCTAAATTTTTACCCCCCCTACAAAATCCTTATATCCGCCCCTGAGTAAAACGCTCTCCGATGTCAAAATTTAAATGACAAAAATGTATTTTTATATTCAATTTTAAATGGTAAAAGAAGCGGAATTTTTAAAACGCATTTAGGCAACTTGTTATTAAATAGCCCCCCCCCCCTCCTCCTTCTGATGAAATATATACCATGACTATTTTTATCAATATTTCAGAAGGAAGGGTGGTAAAAAAGTATCTAATTATTGTTTTTATTTTCCTATATTTCTGGAATTGAACTTAAAAGTTTAACGGTTTACGCTATATAGATATAAAGTTTGTAAGATCACATTAGTTTAAAAAATGCATGATCCGAACCGGTACAACAGTGCCAGTACCAGCTCATCTAGTCGGCCCGGTATGTAGTTGACCCACCACGTTTTATACAACAGAATTAGGCGGACTGACTGAACTCTAGTGCTATATGTATAAACTCTAATTCAACCAAAAGTTTAGTCTCTGAATGTAAAAAAAATTCTCAAATAATTGACCTGAATATATGAGCGGACTCTCAGATCATATTCAGACACAAAGTCGTAGATAATGACAGCTCCATCCAAACCAGCTGTAGCCTGGACATAATTTCATTTCATATTTTCATATTTTTATTCAACTACAAAGCATGAGATATGACATAATAAATAATATTTATTAAAGGGACGTAATGGAGTAATTCACAGAAATAGATACTTTACAAGTCAAAAAACGAATTCCACATAATAGGTTTCCAGGGCACGTCACCGTTAAGTGTATCGGGCATTGCTATCTTTGAAAGGATAGACACTTAAATTTACACTTACTGTTCCTTCAAGTAGAACTGAACTATAATGTTTTATTCAGAACCATTATATCAGATTAGTTTTTTCTCTTCACAGATGGTTTTATGGTTCATAAAACAAATAATTGTTTATTTTTATAAAAGAACTGATTACTTTCCTTAAATTGGACCATGCATGGAAAATTCCGATTTAAAAGAACTATTTAATACAAGAATGAATAAGGTATATATTTTAGGATTCGATGATAGCGTAATCACTGAAATGGTAAATATGGTATGAATGAATTATGATCAATTTTGCGTATTCTTTCTTTTGTAACACTATATATTCGAAATATCAAACCAAATTTTAACTACACTGTAATTATATGTTTGTGTTTGATGTGAATATGAATGTTACCACGATATTCCCGTGGAGTTTCAAGTCCCAAACACTGTCCGTGTGTACAGGAAAGGTTTGGATACAGGACCAAGTATCTCGTCTCCAAACCTAAAATTTATAAAAATGAGAAGAATTCAAGCCAATGATTTTATACTCAAAAATAAAAGAGTTTTTGTTTGGAAATAAATAAACAAATACTGTTGCTGTCTCCTTCTATATATAATACTTTTGAAACTGAAACTCACATGGTCCCATGAAAAGTGTATGGATGCTCAGAACTACAAAAAGCTGTCTCCAACTTATTTTGATTTTCGTAAAATTTTGAAAATCCAGGAATACAAATTAATAAATTTTCGATTTTTTGTTTAATATTGTACGAAGAGAAAATATTTACAGATAGAACCACAATTAAAAGTTAAAATAGAATATGTTCGCGAAGCGCCCTTAAAGCCTAGTTCAGTATATACTGGCTTTAACTGGATACAGTTCTGTCAACGGAATGTTTTTTTTAAGTTGACGGAAAATTCCGTTACCAACTTATCAAGCGGTGAATAACATTTTGTTTCTATTTATGGCTGCACGGTGAAAAAAATTGGAATTAAGCTGATTGCAACTGTTTTGATTGAAATTCAGCTGCTTATACTTCAGTCTATTGAAACTATTTTGTTGCAAATTAGAATTAATCATTACACATATTGCAACAAACTTTAATTGTAAAAAGGTAACAGATTTGTTTTTGAGTTTGAACGTTCTTTTACATTTTGAGCTGACTATATAACGTACTTTAGGTTGTAAAATAGAAAATTTTCTAACTGACTGATTTGCAGAGATTTGAAATAAGAAAGTGTCAATTTGTAGAAATAAGAAAAAATATTCTCTCTCTGCAGTTAGTGCTGGGTTGACAAAAGAATTTTAACAAGAACTCCCTCAGATTTATTTTTCTGGTTTGGACTTTCAACATACTTTTACATTTATCAGGAAAATGGGACCCAACATTCAAATCATAATTAATCAATATAAATATAAATCAAAATATACAGACAGAGTCATATAAAAAACCGGGATTAGAGATGATTTACAAAATACTATAAAAATGTTTCCAGAGTTCGCGTTTTTTTAGCGTGCATAAAGTGTTTTGCTACTGACCTTGAAGAATGTATCATAGCTTCCTGTTAGAAACACGCTAGCGTTGAAGTCTATACACTTCACACCCTAAACAAAATAATTCAGATTTTGAATGAGTAAATTTTAAACTTAAACTTAAATTGTAATCAAATCTAGCATTATCTAACATGTTTCATGTTTTGTTTTGTTATTCTGTACACTGTGTATTCAGTGTACAGGCTTACCCACAAAGCATGAGAATTTTGAAATGGCTGAGTTTATTCATTCTTTTTGTTCAATTAATGTTTTCCAAACCTTAAAACTTTTTGGTTTCTTCGTCAAATAAATTCCTATAACGTACAAAATACAAAATTTAATACCGTAAACCAAATAGATTATCAAGTACAATAGGTGGCAACAGAGAAATCAACCTATTATACACTACGTCACAAGTGTCAAATATAACAAGGAAAACGAAATTTTCTCAAATTAGTTGACATGTTTCCCAAGATGAAATAAAAAAGTGTAAAAACAGAAACTAAAGAACACATTAAATTGCACTTATTTTACTGTAAGAAAAGCACTTTATTATAATATTATCAATATCATTGATGATTTTGTCGGACACAAAAACTGAATTGACACTTGTGACGACAGAATACAACTGTACTGAGAGTGTACAAATTCTACGTTGCCATCTATTGTACTAGAATCTATTTGCCGTAAACTAAGTGTAACCTTCAGAACGAGAATTTTAGAGTTTCAGGTCATTTCATCCTTTATGGGTAGCCCTGTATATTAACAAAATCACAAGAAGTTAAAGAAATTTGTTAACTTTAATTTGTTGAAAAGTTTTATTTCAAAACTTTTTTAAAAAGTTCGAAATCTTTATTTATCTTTTTCTTTTGATCTTCCAGAATCCTTTCCCTTTCCTACCTTTCCAAAATTCGTTTTTTACTTTTCCCGAACAGATTATTTTAACCTTTTTGTGACATTACTTTTTCTTTAATAACCTTTTCATGACAATTCTGCTATTTACTTTTTATGGTACTTATGTTCACATATGTTTACCTTGCTACGCCAGTCATTTTACCTTATTTTCCTTGTCAGACACTCTTGTTCTCTTTTTAACTTTGTCATGGCACTCAATTGTTCCCTTATATACTTTGTCATGACACTCATGTTCCCTTATTTTCCTTGTCATTTCAATCTTGTTCCTTTATTTACTTTGTCATGTCACTCTTGTTCCCAAATTTACTTTGTCATGATAATCTTTTTCTCTTATTTACCTTGTAATGACACTCTGGCTTCCTTATTTACCTTGTCATGACACTATTTTTCCTTTATTTACCTTGTCATGGCACTTGTGTTTCCTTATTTACCTTGTCCTGTTAATCTTGTTCTCTTTTTAACTTTGTCATCGTACTCTTGTTCCCTTATTTAATTTGTCATGGTACCCTTGTTCCCATATTTACTTTTTCATGACACTCTTGTTCCTTAATTTACCTTGTCATGGGACTCTTGTTCCCTTATTATTTTGTCATGGCACTCTTGTTCTTTTATTTACCTTTTTATGACACTCTTGTTCCCTTATTTTCCTTGTCATGTCACTCTTGTTCCCATAATTACTTTGTCATGGGACTCTTGTTCCCTTATTTACCTTGCCATGGCACTCTTGTTCTTTTATTTACCTTTTCATGACACTCTTGTTCCCTTATTTACCTTATCATGTCACTCTTGTTCCCTAATTTACCTTGCTATGGCGATCTTGTTCTCTTTTTAACTTTGTCATGGTACTCTTATTCCCTTATTCACTTTGTCATGACACTCTTGTTATTTTACCTTGTTATTGCACTCTTGTTCTCTTATTTTACCTTTTCATGAAAATCTTGTTCCCAATTATTTACTTTGTTATGGCACTCTTGTTCTCTTATTTACCTTGTCATGACACTCTTGTTCCTTTATTTACCTTGTCATGACACTCTTGTTCCCTTATTTACCTTGTCATGACACTCTTGTTCCCTTATTTACCTTGTCATGACACTATTGCTCCTTTATTTACTTTGTCATGGCACTCTTGTTCCCTTATTTACCTTGTCATGGCACTCTTGTTCTCTTATTTACCTTGTCATGGCACTCTTGTTCCCTTATTTACCTTGTCATGGCACTCTTGTTCCCTTATTTACCTTGTCATGGCACTCTTGTTCCCTTATTTACCTTGTCATGACACTCTTGTTCTCTTATTTACCTTGTCATGACCCTCTTGTTCCCTTATTTACCTTGTCATGACGCTATTGCTCCTTTATTTACTTTGTCATGGCACTCTTGTTCTCTTATTTACCTTGTCATGGCACTCTTGTTCCCTTATTTACCTTGTCATGGCACTCTTGTTCCCTTATTTACCTTATCATGGCACTCCTGTTCCCTTATTTTTCCTAGATAACTAATATCCCAAGCCTGAAAGAAGAGATTAGGAGATAAAGACCAAGAACTAAAATTTGATATTTATGAATGGAATTGCAAGCTCGTTAATATTGAAATACATTCAATTCAATTTGGCCGAGAATTGTCGACATATCCTTTAAATCAGATCCACAATATGTATATCACGTGGATTTAATCGTTCTCTCAATATTCCAGAAAGCTATGACTTTCGATCACAATTTCTCCTATTAAACATAATTTTTCAGCCTTCTTTCTTAAATACTTTTTTGCCGGCATATAAGTTTTGAATAAAAGTATTAAACAAACAAATCCGTAAGTTTAAAGATTGTTAAAATATAAACCAAACGCGTATGATTTCAAAGAAACCGAATGCCTCTAACTCTGGTTAGTTCGGGGTGATATGATCTTAAAATATAAAGTTTCCACATAAATCAACAATATTGGGTTCTCTAAATAAAAGATGTGATTACTACAACTGTAAGCTTCTGCTGACTATGCTATGCATTGGATTATTGTAAACACTTTACAACAGTGCATATAGTGTGTTCACAAAACAACATGGAAATAGAAGAAAGTTTCTTTATATTGTCCTTTTTGTCCTGTCGTTTTTAGCAAATTTTAACCCTTCTAAATACACTTCTTTCTAAAATTTGAAATCTTACCTAGCTCCCTTTCTCTCCTAAACATAGGATCCTTTCCAAGCTACCTTCCTTTTCTAAACCTTGGGTCATTTCCTAGCTGCCTTCCTTAGCTAAACCTTGGGTCATTTCCTTGCTACCTTCCCTTTCTAAACCTTGGGTCATTTCCTAGCTGCCTTCCTTATCTAAATCCTAGATCCTACTCTCCTTTCCTTTCCAAAACCTTGGATTCTAGATTACTTCCTTTCCTGAACTCTGAATCATGAATCCTCTCCTAAACCTTGAATCCTTTCCTAGCTACCTTCCTTTCCTAAACTTGAATCCTTCCCTAGCTACTTTTCTTTCCCAAACCTTTGTCCCAGCTACCTTCTTTTCCTAAAAATTTGACCCAGCTACCTGCCTTTACAAAACATTTGACCCTTCCCTAACTACCATCCCTTCCTATACATAGGATCATTACTAGCTAGTTTCCTTTCCTACACCTTGTTTTCTTCCCTTATAAAATTCCTTTCCAAAACCTTGGATTCTTTTCTAGATAACTTCCTTTCCTAATCCCTGAATCATTTCATTGCTACCTTCCTTTCCAAAACCTTGGATTCTTTTCTAGATAACTTCCTTTCCTAATCCCTGAATCATTTCATTGCTACCTTCCTTTCCTAAACCCTGAATAATTTCCTTGCTACCTTCCTTTTCTAATACTTAAATTCTTCCCTAGTGACAGGGTTACCCACGAAGGATGAGACTGTAAAGACGACCCAAACTCTAAATATAGACGATTTGAAGGCAGACGCTGAACTCCAACCTTCGAGTGTGCGAGGTGGGGAAGACTTCACTGCCGCGCTTAATTAAAAGCATGATTAAGGGGGGATGACATTTACAGATCGAGATTGAATCCTAGCCGCAGCGCTCGGCCCAGAAAATTTCATAACTTAACCTAACCCGTGGCCGCAGCGCTCGGCCCCCTAGCCTGTCCTAGCCGCAGCGTTCGGCCCGGAAAGTGTCTTAACCTAACCTAACCCTAAATAAAAGAAAGTGTCATAACTTAACCTAACCCGTGGCCGCAGCGCTCGGCCCAGAAAGTGTCTTAACCTAACCTAACCCTAAATAAATACTAATGTAATTAAAAATTGTTGAAAAAGTGGTCATGTACATGTACATGTACATGTGAAGTCTTCCCCACCTCGCACACTCGAAGGTTGGAGTTCAGCGTCTGCCCGATTTTAAGCTTGCTTTTTGGTTTCTGCATTCAATTGAGTATTTTGATGGTTTACTAACTGATTAAGAACAAATATAAACCAGTTTTGGCCTACAAGGAACTCTGAATGTAAGGAAATGGATTGAACAAGTTCCGACCGTCAAACATTATAGAAATCCAACGTACGTTGCTATACCCAGCTATTGCTATACGTTGGATTTCTATAATGTTTGACGCCAAATTCCGAACAATCATCTTTGACGTATCATCCTTTCTAGGTAATCCTGTATCTTCCTTTCCTAAACCTTGCTTTTCTATTTGAACAAAATCTTTAGTACGTCTTAAAAATTGGAACTTAAAGAAACTGAGTTCTTGCCACAAACTCTGATTTTCTGCTACCAATATCTTTGCAACCTGATGTTGTGAACATTCGACATTTTAAACATAGACTATTTGATCTAAGAGACTTCCAAGTTTGAAATATCTAAGGTCTACCACATTGGAATGCAAAGATATAGGGATTAGAAAATCAGAGTTTGTGGCAAAAACTCAATTCCTTTGCGTAAATATCACCTGAATACAACCATTGTTTAGTCCACAGAATATTATGGAATCATCACTTCTACACAATATTGGTCAATAATAATTATTTTATCAATCCAACAAACTAAAGTTTAAAAGATTTTCAAAAATGATCGAATTATCAATGATAATAATTATTCAAAAATATTGATCCTACAAACTAGTATTTTTGGATATTTAACGTTAATAAAGATGAATAACGCGTAGAAAAATATATGAAAGATTTCAATTATTATCAATTCCTAACACTCAACACAAAGCTGTCACAAAACAATCGTTTGGCCTGAAAAAAAGTTTTAATTGTTTAAGGAAAATAAAAATGTTTGTTAAAACTATTTTACAAACTGAGTTTCGCCACAAACTTAATTTGTAATCATTATATCTCAGAAACTTAAGATTTTGTACTAGGCCTTTGATATTTCAAACCTCGAGCTTGCAAGATCTAATAGCCAAAGTTTGAAATATCAAAGATTTACGCCATCAGCTTAACTGCAAAGATACAGGGCTTTGAGTTTGTAATGGGCCAGTTCCTTAGTTTAAAAAATGGCTGATCAATGATTTTTACTAGCAGAGAATTCATTTATTTATTTAATCTATAAATAAAATTTGAGTTTAAGTGATTTGAGAGCAATGTGTTTTGAACTAAATTTTTGTTGATATTTTATTATATTCCTGTGAAAGGAATTGTAGACGTAATTTCAAGAGTAAAATGTATGATTCACAATGGTACCAGTAAAAGCTTTTACTGATTAAGAATGCAAAAGATAACCAGCAGTTTTATAATTTTTAATTCTGGGCTCTCAATAACATAACTTTCACATTATTTAACAGGAAAGGTAAAACAAAAAACAAGTACCATTGTAAATCGGACATGACCCTCTTTTAATGTTCCTTTAATCATTACTCATCCAACCTTAATCATACCTTGGGTTCTCTAAACCTCCAGATATCCTTGAGTAGAAACACCTTGGCACACATCTTCTTGTAAATACTCGGATCTGAAACCTAGAAAATAGATTCATTGAAAGAAGTATATTGTGTTTTGTTCTCTGGTATTACACATTCTTCTCTACAGGCAAGGATCTAAGGCAAGGAAAGTCATTTCAGAAGTGTACACATCTTTAGTACTGCAGTGTACTGTCTCTGGGCTCTAATGTAAACACAAGACGGATGTCGAAGCCTAACATAGGATCCATCATTCAAATAAAAAATCAATGAAATATTCTGGTCATAGGAAACTATTATGTGAATTATCAAAATTATCAAAATTTAATGCTTTTAACCTCCTCGGATACTAAACGAACACTGATGCATCTATTATTGTTTACAAATTCCGCCCAGAGAGAACTGGTTTCAATATGCACACAGAGTATACACAACCGCAATTGACTTTCCTTGCCTTACATTCTTGTTTACAGGGTACTATAAACTTATATAATAGTGAAATTTCAATTCATAATTTTCATCTTTCCATGTAAAACTAAGAAGGGATTCGATTCTTTTTTTACAAAAATTTTGTTAATTTTGTTCTAAAATTTGAGATAAAAGCACGTCAAAGTTCTTTAATTTAACTCTTGAATAGGCAGAGTTCCTAGACTTACCTCTTGAATAGGCAGAGTTCCTTAATTTACCTCTTGAATAGAGAGAGAGTTCCTTGATTAACCCTTTAAAAAAGAAGAGTTCCTTCATTTACCACTTAAAATTTGATTTACCTCTTGAGCTTGAAGTGTTCCTTGAAAATGAGGAGTTACTTGATTTACCTCTTAAGCATGGAGAGTTCCTTGATTTACCTCTTGGACATGAAAAGTTCCTTGATTTACCTCTTGGACATGAAAAGTTCCTTGATTTACCTCTTGATCAGGTAGAGTTCCTTGATTTACCTCTTGATTAGAAAGAGCTCCTTGATTTACCTCATGATCAGGAAGAGTTCCTTGATCAGGATGAGTTCCTTGATCAGAAGAGTTTCTTGATCAGGTAGAGTTCCTTGATTTACCTCTTGATTAGAAAGAGCTCCTTGATTTACCTCATGATCAGGAAGAGTTCCTTGATCAGGATGAGTTCCTTGATCAGAAGAGTTTCTTGATCAGGAAGAGTTCCTTGATTTACCTCTTGAACAGGTCGAAATAACGAGGAGTTCCATCCCTCTAGCTCAGACAGTTCCTATATTGTTCAAAATTTAGTTTTCTAAAAATATACTTCTCTAAAATTCTCTAAAATTATTCTAAACATTTCACTCAAACTAATGGAAACACCATCAGATTATTGAATAAGAAGAAAGGCCTCGTAGATATACATACATGTGATTTCTAATTTTACTGTGTACAGAAATACCTACTTCAAGTTTTTTCGCATTTAACGCGAGAAAACAAAATGCAAAAAATGCGAAAATTTTCACGAACAATTTTTTTTTCTCGAAAAATGCGAAATTTTCGCTAATCGATTTTTCTTTTTCGCTGGAAAACCTAGGTGCGAAACACCTTTTAAGACTAGTTTATTTGGAAACATTAAAAAAGATTATAGCTTTTTTTTGGGATCATTTCTGGATATAAACTCTAAACTCAACACATAAAAAATAAATTTATTTGGAAATAACATTTACGGCTTTGCGAGGACGTTACAATTCTCTATTTTTATTTCATACTTGACCATCAACCTACATTTTACATTAACATTTTCAAAAATTAAATATAAAAAATTCACCTTTAAACCTTCATCCCGAATAACTAAACGTTCTATTTTTCTCTTAAAAACATATGTTCCAATAAACTGATTCCATAATGTAGAGACAAGCTGAAGATGGCATAAATCCTAGATATTTATATTATGTATGGTTTATATATTGATATGCGCATATATTACTAGCTTGGGAACCCAGCTTTGCTTGGAATGTAAGAAAATTTCTGTGGTTTTACTGAGTTCTCCAATCAAAATTTTAGGCAAAGTGATCACAATTTAGTTATGAGATATTGGTTCTAACGAGTCCATCAGTCAAAATTTTAAGCAAATCGGCCTTTTATGATATTCTATATAATATATGATTGGGTATCCAAACAGAGATTACTATTTTATATATTTTATTATAGATACTGGGCGAGTAAAACCAGGATTAGCGTTGTCTCCGCGAACAGTACAAATCTGCGCGAAAAACTTCTTAATCTTACAAAGGCGGAAATATGGGATTTTTTGCAGCATAGTGGTTACTCGTTATTCTATTTAATAATGATACTTTTTGATCGCGTTTTCTTCTAAATTCCTGCAACGTCAATGGTACAACTTTGTGACCTCGTAGTTTCTACAGTTTTAATTTATTTATTCGGTTGTACATTAGAAATTAAAATATTTGGTTGTACATTAGAAAATCAAAACATTTCTGTTCTTCTCGAGATTAAAGGAGTTGTGATTTATAATATACATGAATTTTACGTGAAATTTATTTTGGTTGGACTTTGATATTTCAAATTATAAATACGACAAGATCCAATAGTTTAATATCAAAGTTGCAGGTTGCAAAGATATAGGAACAAGAAAAAATGCTCTGAAGGTACCGTGTGAATCAGGCATGTAAATCTGTTGTTGAAGGATTGATTAAAAATTATAAAGAAAACTACCGAAGAAGAACTTATTGAAAGAATAAAAATAAATTAATTATTTAAAATTAAATTAAAAAAGTAAGCAATTAAATATGTTACCTGGAACTTAAAATATGAAAGTATAGTACTTGCAACATGATCCATATTCCTGTCCAGTAGTTCTTCAAGAAAATCAACACGTGTTTCATCATATCTACAATTTATATATTTTTTAAAAAGCTGGTTTCCAAATTCTTAATTGATCTTTAAATGCAGAAAGTTTTTAAAGTAGATCACCTTACTTTTAATGGGTTCACAACTCTTTTTTCAACACTGAATTTTTTAAGTTTGATAAAATAATTTGCAGATATTTTTCCCGCTTTATTGGAAGATTTTAAAAATATCGTTTGATGAAATGTTTTTGTTTACGCTTATTTTTATGTTAAAAGAGTTCACTGTGCCCTAGACAGAAGAGCAAATTTAAATTTACGCAATATTATTGGTTCGACTTTGTGGCCTCGTAGCTCCTTTAGTTTAGCTGTAAATTGATTTGGTTACATAACACAGATTTAAGGCATTTTTGTAATTTTGAAAATCTCTTAAAAAAGAGAAGTTATGTCAGATTTCAATAAAAGTTTAGTTTGACGTGGAACAGCTCACAAACTAGTTTTGAAAAACAATAAATAAGTTTAAAAACGTTTTTATAACTTGGACCTAAAATATTAATTCTTTAAAAAAATTTTCTTTTAAAAAATAAAAAACAGGATTCTTAAAATTTGTAGCATTTACCGAGTAACCCTGTATTTCACAAGGGTTTAAAATTGAATTAAAAATTTTAACATTGTTTGAAGAAAAATTTTAATTAATGGTTTTAGTTTAAGAATTTACCTCACTCCATCATAACCTATGTTTGTACTTCCCCTAGTTACGTGTCAAGAGTTACAAACTTAATTTTTTTCAAAAAAGTAAAAATTTTGTAAAACCGTTTTTCAAGATTCAAAAATCATTTAAAGATTTTAACAAAGTACACTATAGTACACTGTGTATTGAGTTTATCATATAGATTTTATTAAAAAGACTATTTGGCGTTTTAACACATGGATCCTGACAGCCTACATTTGCTGCTAAAAATGCCCTGGGATGACTAGATGGGCTGGTACGAGTAAAACCACTCAAAACAAGGTTGATTTTAAAGCAGCTAGATGCACGTTGTACAGTATATATATACACATAGGGACTATAAACAGCTCACAGGGATCTATACTGCTGTGAAAATGTTCAATACCGGGTCGACTTTGAAGTGTTAGAACGCCTTGACCTTTTAGTCTACTTCACTAACTAACTTATTCATTTTTTGCAGTCCTAGACATGTAGATTTTGAGACCTTGCAACCTTGAGATCCTAGTCCTAGACATTTAGATTTCAAGACCTTGCAACCTTGAGATCCTAGACATGTAGATTTCGAGACCTTGCAACCCTAAGATCCTAGTCCTAAACATGCAGATTTCGAAACCTTGCAACCTTGAGATCCTAGTCCTAGACATGAAGATTTCGAGACCTTGCAACCTTGAGATCCTAGACATGTAGATTTCGAGACCTTGCAACCTTGAGATCCTAGTCCTATACATGTACATTTCGAGACCTTGCAACCTTGAGATCCTAGTCCTAGACATGAAAATTTCAAGATCTTGCAACCTTGAGATCGCTAGCTAAAGGGGCAAATGAAATATCTCTTCCTAGTTCAAGTTTCGGACTGGGATGCCATTTAATATAGAATATGAAATGTTCTGACATATAAAGATTTAACGGTAAAAACGGTTTGAAAAGTACTTCTAAAACTTTTCTTTTACCTGAATTTTTCTATTTTCTCTTGTAACTCGAGGCCCTGATATCGATTAACCCTATACAAAATACCATAGAGTAATACAAAATACAATACAAATATTGTGAAAACCGGGTATTTAAAATTACAAGTTATATCATAATGTATTCTAATCAGTGTCCTAAAGCTATTTGCAAAGTAAGTATCCTTTTTAACCCTAAAAGGATAAGNTGATAGAAAAACGTTAAGTTATGTTATACACAGTCCCTTTCATCATTAATTTTATTCATCATTAAAGTATAACAATTGATAAATGGATATTCAATTCAAGAAAAAATTGCAAAAACTAAGCTTTGAACCTGTCCAATATTCATGTACATTGTACAGTACACCGTTACACGGAACATAAAAGTTTGTTTGTTTGTTGTCCAACCAGCTGAACCTATTGGGCTAAACCATCAATAGAAAATAAAAAAATGGAGTCTTTGCCGCAAACCCAAATTTTCTAATCCTTATATCTTCGCAACCTTTGACTATTTACTCTAACAGAATTCATAGTTAGAAATATCTAAGGTCTACAACATTGGGTTGCAAAGATATAGGGAATAGAAAATCAGAATTGGTGTCAAAGACTCGGTTCCTTTATTTTTTCAATCTCACTTAAATCCAAAAAAGGTTTTTGGATGGTCAGAAGTTATAAAAACATATAAAGCTTAGTAATTTCTGATTGAAAAGTTAAGGATCCAGACAAAGCTGGGTTCCAAAACTATTATTTTGATAATGTAAGAAAGCCTAATAATTTATATATTGTTAATTGTCTAATCTATATTTTTATGATGAATCTATATGATGCAGTTAATACTGTTATAGCCCAAATATCAATTAACAAAGGATTATAAATATTACTGATTAAAACATAATTTTTTTAGAAATCTGTTAACAAAATTTAATATTGCTTGAAGAAACGTGAGTGTTATGCATTTCATTTCATGAATTTAGGAATAAAAATTGCGTTACAACTTTTAGTATTTTTATCTGTAAATCAGTGTTAGCAGGAGGGAGGGGGGGGGGGGCAATGATGTTTTTGTTTGTTTTGTTGTTACATCTCTCTCAAGATTTTAGATAATAATTTGGGGGTTTCCTCTTCTGGGCAAACAAAGATTCTGACGGCCCAAAAACTTACCCGGTGCCATTTGAACTGCACAGTACAGTACAGCAAATACTTTGGACCTGGTCGGTTTGGCCGTTTAAAGTTTATTGGATACAAACAGACAAATATCTAAAGTGTCCAGCGTTGCCCGTGGAACTTCAAAAAAATTCAGCCATTTTGGTCCAACCGTTTTGCCGTGGCATTAGCTTATATACATGTAAATATATATATGAGCGATGAGCTTAATTATTTAGAGATGAAGATAAGTTACTGCAATGGTTTGAATAGAATTTAGTTTGTTGGAAACAACGAGATTGTTCATTATCATTTAACAGAGTTAAAGGGACAGTAAAGGAAAAATGAAAGGGGGTATAGTCTGAAAGCTAATCACTTTAGCTCTTGATCGCGGCCCATGAAAGTTATATCTGATGTTCCTGTCTCGAGAAATTGATATTCAACTGTGTCAAATATATACGAAAATTAATATATATACAATTTTGTATAAAAGTAGTAGGTTTTAACAGATCATATTCAGCAAATAAGCAACCAATCTGAAAACAATGATATCCCAGAGAAAGCTAATTGTAAATTAGGTTTACTTTTATATTTGTTATTTCTATTTTCAATAGATTTCATTCATAATATTATTTTTACGTCCGTATTACTTGACCAGAAATTCCACCAATGGCAGTGCAGTAAAGTGGTCACGTGATACAGGCGGAGACACGTGACCAGTATACTGCTCTGCCATTGGTGATAGTTCTGGTCACGNCTTCAGAGGACTGGGGACTTCCGAAAAGCTCCAAATGGCAAAAAAAAATATTTTGTAACGGCAAAAGAATCAAGACTTTCAAAGTTATGAATATTCGTGAATATTTCTCTCTTAAAACAAAGTAACTGTATACTTTTCATAAATGAGAAACTTTTTGTCTTACCTATTAATAATTTTCACCAATATTACAATGCTCTCCATTTATAATTTTTTTACAATAACATTAAAAAAGTTTTTACTAAAAACATGCATTGATAATTTCCAATCGGTTTTCTAAATAACTTTCAGATTTTTTTCTTATGCAATATTTATCATGTATTTTCTTCCCTGTGATTTTATAAAGAATCACAAGATTTAAAGGGAGTGTTCGTATAGGCGTACGGCGAAAAATAAGCGCTTTTTATCGCTACTAATCTTACTTATATCTGGACTCTAGTATGCCAAGTCCATTAGCGCCTGATCAAATCAGGGTTCAGTTATGTGTTTGGTGTCTATTCTGAACTAATAGAAATTGCATGGCGGTAACATCTATCTTTCTATCTAGCTCATTATCAAATTGGAGATAAATCCTTATATCGGCGCTATAGCAGTAAATGCAAATATTTACTTTTACTGAAACTATAGTGTCTGTTGCTCCTCGAAAGAAGAATACATGTTTTCAAAAGTACAACTATCAAATCAAATCATAAAAAACAAAAGATATTTTATGAAATATTAACTATATGCGAATGCGTCGAAAAATAATAGATGATTATTGGTTGTAATATTTGAATGATTTGTTTGGTATTAAATTGATTCTTTACGATCCGAGTTGAATGTTGCAACTTTCTGAATTTGTATGGACGCTGCGTAATTCTACACTTTTCTTATAAAAATGTCAGATTAGAAAAGTAATAACTGCTCTGTTTCTGTCAAGATTTTACCTTTTTTCTTGGAAATCTAATACCTTAGATTTATTTAATTTTGATGCGGATCCGGATCCGGATCCTGGATCCGCACTGGAAAAAATGGATCCTGATCCTGGTCATTTATTTAAAATTTACTGAATTTTTTTAGCAAAAAAGAAATTTCAACTTTTTGTTTTATTTTTTTTGCTGATTTTCATGCTAAAACTTGATAAACCATTAGAAAATAAAGATTCATCTCTCTATCTTTAATATTTCAGATTTTGGTTTTGAGCGTTAAAAAAGTTTTTTTTCAGATTTTGGTTGATGTTTTGCCCCTTGGATCCGTAAATTTTTACAGATCCGTATCCAGGAAGCCAAAATCCAACGGATTCGGATCCAGATCCTAAGCACTGTTTATAGAGATTAAGAAAACTATATATTTTTTTATAATAAGATTTTACATCAAAATCAGTCGAGCGAACTTGTTTCACCATTGTAACGAAAAAAAAAACACAAAAATATGTAAAATTATTTACTTAAATTTGTAGTTTTTTTTTTGCATTGTTAAAGGTTAACATGAATACAGAATTAACCATAGAGGACGAGACTTTAAAGACTGGACTTGATTTATTTATTATGTTTTCTAATATTCGATCATTGTTACTTAGAGTTTTACAATTTACCTTTCGTTGCCAACTTATTCAATACTCCTATAGTGGACTATAGTCAGTATTCCTTTAGAGGACTGTATTCAGTATTCCTTTAGAGGAATATATTCCGTATTCCTTTAGAGGACTATATTCAGTATTCCTTTAGAGGACTATATTCAGTATTCCTATCGTGGACTATATTCAGTATTCCTTTAGAGGACTATATTCAGTAATCCTTTAGAGGAATATATTCCGTATTCCTTTAGAGGAATATATTCAGTATTCCTTTAGAGGAATATATTCAGTATTCCTTTAGAGGACTATATTCAGTATTCATTTAGAGGACTATATTTAGCATTCCTTTAGAGGACTATATTCAGTATTCCTTTAGAGGACTATATTCAGTATTCCTATAGATGACTATATTCAGTATTCGTATAGAGGACTATATTCAGTATTCCTTTAGAGGACTATATTCAGTATTCCTTTAGAGGAATATATTCAGTATTCCCTTAAAGGACTATATTCAGTATTCCCTTAGAGGACTATATTTAGTATTCCTTTAGAGGACTATATTCAGTATTCCTTTAGAGGACTATATTCAGTATTCATATAGAGGACTATATTCAGTATTCCTTTTGAGGACTATATTCAGTATTCCTTTAGAGGACTATATTCAGTATTCCTATAGATAACTATATTCAGTATTCCCTTAGAGGACTTATTCAATATTCCTTTAGAGGACTATATTCAGTATTCCCTTAGAGGACTATATTCAGTATTTCCTTAGAGGACTATATTCATTATTCCCTTAGAGGACTATATTCAGTATTCCTATAGATGACTATATTCAGTATTCCTTTAGAGGACTATATTCAGTTTTCCTATAGATAACTATATTCAGTATTCCCTTAGAGGACTTATTCAATATTCCCTTAGAGGACTATATTCAGTATTCCCTTAGAGGACTATATTCAGTATTCCCATAGAGGACTATATTCAGTATTCCTATAGATGACTATATTGATAAAGATTGATAAAGCTACTAGAAGCTGGTAGATACCACTATGATGTCCTAAAGGTAGGGAGGAACTATCTTCTATTTAATAAAGCTCTTCGCTCATAAAATATTTCTATATATATGTTCATTGTTTACCAAAGCTGGCCAAACTGATAGACAAAGTTGGCTGAATTCTTTTAAGGAAAACCAAAAATACCCCGGGGGTACATGAAAGCATTAGCAAAAATCATAATTTTATACCAAGCCTGAAAAATGCAAGAGCAACATAAGACTAGGAATAATAATGTAAACTGTAGCTGGTAGTTTTATAAAAATAATAACAAAGATTGTAAACAAAAAAAGATCCGGAGCTTGTTTACTAACTGTTGTTTATTTATATCAGACCCAAATTAGACCATTTCCTGGGCAGTCCAAATATGATACATTAAAATCTATCAGACTTTATCTCCCTGGAACTTTAGTATATTTTTGAAAATAAGGACTATAAACCAGGAACCACCTATATACAAGGACTATAAACCAGGAACCATCTGTATACAAGGACTATAAACCATGAACCACCTGTATACAAGGGCTATAAATCAGGAACCACCTGTATACAAGGACTATAAACCAGGAACCACCTGTATACAAGGACTATAAACCAGGAACCACCTGTATACAAAGACTATAAGCCAGGAACCACCTGTATACGAGGACTTGAAACCAGGAACCACCTGTATACAAGGACTATAAACCAGGAACCACCTGTATACAAGGACTATAAGCCAGGAACCAACTGTATACAAGGACTATAAACCAGGAACCACCTATATACAAGGACTATAAGCCTGGAACCACCTGTATACAAGGACTATAAACCAGGAACCACCTGTATACAAGGACTATAAACCAGGAACTATCTGTATACAAGGACTATAAACCAGGTATATACAAGGACTATAAACCAGGAACCATCTGTATACAAGGACTATAAACCAGGAACCACCTGTATACAAGGACTATAAGCCAGGAACCACCTGTATACAAGAACTATAAGCCAGGAATCACCTGTATACAAGGACTATAAACCAGGAACCACCTGTATACGAGGACTATAAACCAGGAACCACCTGTATACAAGGACTATAAACCAGGAACCACCTGAATACAAGGACTATAAACCAGGAACCATCTGTATACAAGGACTATAAGCCAGGAACCACCTGTATACAAGGACTTTAAACCAGGAACCACCTGTATACAAGGACTATAAGCAAGGAACCACCTGTATACAAGGACTATAAAACAGGAACCACCTGTATACAAGGACTATAAGCCAGGAACCACCTGTATACAAGGACTATAAACCAGGAACCACCTGTATACAAGGACTATAAGCCAGGAACCACCTGTATACAAGGACTATAA